TAGATAGATAGATATTTTCATAATCTACATTTTCTGGATCTGAAAAATCGCATGTATCCAAACCATTTTGTAAATAATATCCTCTTCGACAAGCTAAGCGACGTTCTCACTTGCTTCATTTTTAACCACCTTTGGAAAACTTGCCGTGTTCGTAGATTACTAAATTACAGCTGAGGACATTATTTTTGATATGCTAAAACACGTTTCGAATAATTTCTGATAATCTACAGTTACTTTCTATTATTTGATTTGCAAAACTAAATCGCACTGTAGGTGTATTTTATGACAATTAGATGTCCACTTGAAGATAACTGATGAGATTATTGCTCCATGTATGATTACTTATCATCAATTATTTGGGAAGAAAACGGCTATATAATAGTGTCTATTTGTTTCATTTTACCGCCCCGTCTGCATGTGGTCTGCTGCAATGATGTAAATCAGTTTCAAAAACTCTTTACCGGAGTTTTCTCATTTACTTAAACGCCTGAAAGCGATATACAGAGTCAGCTACTAGTAGTTCCTGTCAAAACACAGTTAACAGATGCGTCCAAGACCCGTTGCATTGACCCCCGTCATTACTCAACTGAAAACTAAGGCTGGTCGGTTATTTGGGAAATATTTTACTTTGGACTCGTGCTAATTCTGATATTAGACATATTTGCACTTGTTGAATAGGATGTGCTTCAGATAAAAAGGATATGAAAGGTTTTATTTCATAAAAACAGAACTTTACACACCGTCTATATTCTGGTTGTAATTTTACTGAAAACAAATTCATTGCGTTGTTATAGCAGCCACATGTTTATAGAAAGCTATATCAATAAGGCATACAGTCAGCGTATTCTTTGCCTGAAAAAACTCAAAGGAATGGTATAACTGTTGTTTTATACTTCTCTCTTGGTGCCAAATGTCATCTGTATCCTATTCATCATTTAGACCACTGTATCCATATGTTTCCCGGTCATTTTTATGAAAGTCGTCCATATCGAACGATATTCATTACCACCTTTCACCAGTGCGTACGTGATCTTGAATGTTGATGGCATATTTTTATAACTATTGAAGTGTGAATGCTTTAAACTTGCTTTATATTCAACACATGATTTTAATCTACCAAACTCACTTTTCATACAAAAAGTGCCCCTATACCTTCAATTCACCACACAAGAAACAAAGAAGTTTTATATGCTTGGAACAAATCTCGTAGCCGTCACGTGGTGAATTGATTGTATTTTAAGACTCTACACCAGATGTCTTCTCGTTAAGTATCTGAATGCATTTAGAACATTCATTTACAGCGTTCTTGGAGCAGACATCCGATTTCAAGTCCTTGTCGGCCTTGCTACCTTTTAGTGAAATACATTTTACTGATAAACGCAAGAGGGTCGCGCCATTTTGTAGAAACACCTCTTAAGCGTAATGGAACCTCTAAAACGATATCTGTCGCATTCTATGTTTTTTGGTTTTTTGTTTTTTGCTGGCGTATCTTCGCAGCCAACTCGGAGCTCTTAGAATAATTCCTCTTTGAATAATGAACGAACAACATCAAACAGGCTGCCCAAATATACAAGGAGATGGAAATCATATCGCATCACTATAAATCAACCCCTATAGTTCGTTCAAACGCTTTGGTTTAATTTCTTCCCCATATAAAGCATATGCATCTCCTATGGTTGAATATGGTATTGGAAGTATTCTAAGGCAACTGCCTGCCAGACTCGTAGCGCCTTTTCTGTAAGGTATTTTAGTTTTCTTCCTTGAGCTGCTACTTCTGCATTGCTAGTTGACACAGTTACACAAAGGCGTTAATAATAACCAGATAAAATGAAGTAATGGAATACAAAACCAACTGACACAAGATCACAAAAGCCTATGCGTAGTTGTTGCAAACTACTTACCTGGTATAGTATCAAATTATATGTAAAAACTTTTTGGATCCTTCCACATATAAATCCGCAGGATGAATGAGAAACTAGCCTGTCTTCCCAATGTAATCCCCGCAGAAAATCCGCCGTAACTGGGTAGGAAGTAATCTGACAGAATTTTGATCGATTCTTTCAATTTTCCGTGAAAATACTTTCCAAGTGCAAACAGAACTTATATTTACTTACGTCTTACTGGTTTGGCGGAAAGTTGTTATCTGTACGTTTTTATGAAGGACTGCTGGTTTAATTCCCTCTGGGATTCGTAATACCTTGACAGATCACACTGTATCTCTCTCCCACGTAAAACATAAAATGACCTAAGTACCTGTAGCAATTTCACAAGCAAGCCAGTCAGTGAGCATGATTCCGATCAGGCCGATTTGCCTGTCGATTGGCCAATCATGCAACTGCGCATGTTGATCCTCTCATCTAATGTGTATAAATTCATTACGGTGGCCAGTCGTATAAATTAGATCTCCCCTAAGAGATATCATCAGGCTTTCTACCTTAGGCGCTAATTTATAAATGCTTCCTTGACGCTATGATACAATCCCGGGGCCTCACCTCCGAAGCAACCTGCTTGCAGCATATTACAGAAATTGATTATATCGACATTCACTCCGCTGGATTTTAGTGCAGCGTATTATGGCACGTCAAAGTGGAGAGATGGTGTAAGCTGACTATGGGAAAGAAACAACGACTGATTGGGCATAAGATAGAGGAGAAAAAAACAACCATTCATGTTTATATACGACTTTGATTTTCCAAGATAGTACGTTCGGAACAAAAGGTTCCGTGCGAGATCGCTGCGCTGATATTCAACGTTCAGAGTAGATACTTACCCACTGCTTTTTAAATAAGATTTTAAGTTGATTCTTATGCTGTATTTTGTGACAAAACACTAAGAGAAACCCGATTCTTGCACGAGATGTGTGAAGTCTACAGGTAGCATTAGTCCTCATTAACGGCCTCTATAACTGCAGGATGGGAACGTACTTCAGTGCACCTGAAGGTTAGAGTCAAATATTTTCTCGGGTTTCCTTACGGCTACCTATCTGTTTACACATGTTGGTGCGCGAATCATTAGTGGAAACTCAGCATACCTGCACCGACCTCCTAAAGGCAAATTACATTTTGTAAAAATGCTTCAATGGATTTGTACTGATTGCAGCCAAAATAGACAGATTTTCTTAACATGCTTGTATTCTCGTTTGTGTGAGGATGCCAATAGTAAGAACTCAAATTACTACGATTTTACAACACCTCGCTGATAGTATAAGAAAAAATAGAATATATAGGCTTTCTCTATCGTCATAGGCAGCAAAACACCAAATCGCGTTTTATCTCTCTTGAAAAAAATGACAGAGAATTTTGGAATTACTTATTTCCTGGTTGAAATAAACCTTACAATACCTGTATTACATAAATGCTTTCACTCCTTTATTACACCTTTTTCTGAACATTATTCTTTCGGTGCTTTTTTCTGTGTTAGTTCACTCGCCTTGAAAACATTCTGAGAAATTATTGTTCCTTTGCAGCCCAGTGCACGGACAGTATGCATGCTCTTAATCGTCTTTAATGAAATCGGTCTGTGAAATGGGTATTTCAGAGAAATCTACCTGTACAACATTAGGTGGTTTTATTGGGGTTGCGTCTGGAAATTGAACTACCCTAGCACATTCTGTATTATCTTTAAGCTATAATTACTAATACTCACATGATATTCGCCCATGTAGCACCGGGTGGGGTTTTATTTACCATAATTTGATAATAATTAGGGGAAGGCTTTGTCTGTGGACAGATTTCTAATTCAGATGATGCAATTTGATTCTCAGAAATTACTGAATAATTCTGAATATCAAATGTTGGGATAGGCAAAACCGAGCTATCTACGTCAGAACTCGTACAGCAACGAGTTGTGTTAAATGTTGACATTTCATCATAAAATCAGCTGGGGAATCCTTAACTGACGACGGAAATGCGTTTTAAAATTAGGACTGCGACTCTCATCTTAAAAGATTCCATTATTTCCAACATGCACGAGATTGTTTTTAAAACTACCAACTGTATTTTAAAGTACGTATAGTTCATTGCCTTCCTTCATCTCAGTAAGCCTATCATGATATTGATTACGCATAACAAAGTTTAATATGCTATTGTTCCGACGCCATTTGTATTTCAGCGCTCTCTCTCTCTTTATATATATATATATATATATATATATATATATATATATATATATATATATATATATATATATATATATATATAGTTTTGGTGGGCCGGTTGCAACATGATGGCATATCATTTTAATGTTCTGTGCATTTTAGTTCCAAATTCTTACCCGATTCAGCGTGCTTTAAAAAATCCAAATCCAAAGAAGCGTAACTTACGGACCTCCCAAGAGTTGTTCTTTTTCAGTTCTAATATTAATTTGATAATATTAAATGTGATACAATGATTTAATATGATATAATAATGTTTGGGTTCTGGAGCTGAAAACCGGTAAACGAAGGTTAAGCTATGTTACGCCTATCTGATTTTGACATGGCAAGGATCCTATTTCGAGACGCTTCACTCCACAATGCCGGTTTTAGCCCCATACCTCCTGTCACCTCATGCAGAGGTGAAGATACCGAGAGACAGACACGTTAAATGGCAGGTGTATTTCAAGATACGAGGCAAAGTAATTTAGATGGAACTGCTAGTCTGTATCCATGTGCGTTGAGAAGAAATTGGGACATTGTGCGCCAGAGGTATGTGGAAGGTATGTGGAAGTCAAGCATGCGTATAGTTATAAATCTAGTTAGATGACATGTACAAGGTGCTGCTTTCTCATGTTGTACTTGTATACAATGTCTGAATATGCGATCTTCGTTCGGGTTCTTCGTGTAAAAGCCCATTGCCATCAGTTCTTCACAGTAGGTAATGCATGACTTCTTAATTAAAACCAGATAAAAGTTTTGCGATGATTTGCTGTTCAGAAGCCTTTTTATTGACTGCAGTAAAAAAGTATTTAAATGATAAGGTTTTTTTTGTTTGCGAATGATGAGTTATTCACACGTATTCAAAGACAAAAAGTCGCATCAGCATTTTCATTTTTTATTTTGGAAATGATTTCGCCTGACATGTCCCTATATATACACATTAAAAGAAGAATTTGAGAATAGTTTGTCATCATCTATGCTTTTTCTTTTTATTTTTCTTTCCAGATTTTCCAGGAACAACATTAGTGTCCTGTTGATGGTCTATTCTAAGTGCATGTCCCGTGGCTTTTAAGTGTTGAAACATCTTATTTCTGGATGAAAATTCCTGGCCACATGTGTTGCAAAAATGCTGCTGATGCTGCTGGTTGCCACTTGTTTCCTTAAATGAATATTAAACAACATATGAACGACCAGATCAAAGCAAAAAAAAAAAAAAAAAAAAAAAACTACATCCTCTACAAACTACTGTTTAATATATACAATAGTTTAGCATATTATTTTAATTACAATAATAGCGCTTCTTTTCATTGTAATTCTTAAAAATATTGTCAACATGCACTTTGAATTGTTATTTTAATAAACAAATATTATAGGTGTTAAAGCAAGGCATTTTCATCGTAAATCATTACCTCCTGATCATTTTTCTCATGAGTCATGTCATCATGTGTGCTGAAATAAGGTAACACATAATTATGACCTTCTGTTTTTATTTAAATCTTAATATACAGATCTCTTAAAATCCATTTTTAGTCAAATGCATCAGGTTGCAAGTTACTTGTAAGTTGGAAGTAAGACAAGCAGAAGCATGTTCATGCTCTGTTCACCAAGTCCAGTACAATAAACTGGGTAACAAATACTGGCACCAGCCATCCTTGCCTCTGTCTCTTGCAGTCAATTGGAAACACCATTTCCCCCTTAAATGGGGTTAATACATCTAGCACAGAATTCCTTTTTTGATAAAATTTCTACTTACTTAGGGATTGCACAATTTGTTTCAGCTCCTTGGTCCATTGGAGTTACTTCGAGGTCTCCAACATCAGTCACTTGGATTTCATCTGCTGCGATATTAGAAGGTGCCACATCCACCAAGCTTTCTCCCACTGTCTGTTCTTGGTCCACGTCAGACAGGTCCTGTGTGGTGGAAACAAGTTTTGGTCATAATTACTTTAAATTCAGACATCATCATTCGGTATCTTTGTTGTGCAGTTATATTCTTGAAAAGTCAAATATAACACAGAATTTTGTTCAACTCACCTCTTCTTCCTGTTCTTGCTTTTTTCGTCTCCTCTCTTTCTTGGACAATCTGAAAAAAAAAAAAAGCATAGATATTGCTTCCTGCCTACAAGTTAGTTGGCTTTTAAGAAAATTACAGCCTTCCAGTCACATCCAATAAAATATAATGTAACAGATTAACTTTCCCCTCAGAGTAACTCCAATGGACTAATGCAATGATTCAGCTGTTTTTTATGGATGTTAATGTTTAAAAACTTTTTTATAATCTAAAAATTATTACACTACTGACTGTTTAACATTTAAATGACTGATCAATTCACTTATTATAAAATAAAATTACATTGACTTGACTCACTTTTTTGTACTGGTTGTATTCTCATTGACAGAACTGACATTATTATCTCCAGCTTCCTGCAATTTAACAGAAGGTTAACAGTCAACATTTTGATAAGAATCTGTAAATAGTTAATGTGCATTGATTTAATAATGACACATGTGCACACAACAGTATTTGTGACCTCCGAGAGTTCATAATAAACAATATTAAAATTTAAATATATTCAACTATGACAACCTAAAATTAATAAACCATATCTCAGCAACCACGATATTTTTGTAGACAATGCTATAAAAAGTGACTTCCATGTGTACATAACAAATCAAACAGCGAAGGTCAGGTTAAGAACACTTACATAAGTCGGAAACTTACCAATTTCTCAACTTGTGCTAGTTGTTTTCTCCTCTTTTTCTGCTTTTTAGATAATCTGAAAAACAGAAACAATCAATTTATGTTATCTTTAAATAAATCTAATATAAAGAAAACCTGCCCAGGTAAGCAGAATGCCAGTACATATTCCTGGGTAAGTTACAAAATTATATTAATACAATAAAATGTGTTTAATATACCCTTTGAAAGGCAACTCTTGAATATCTACCATTACATTATCAAAGGATATACATTTTAGGGTATTTAAAATTTAATTCATTAGCATCTTCACACACCAAGGGTACGCATATAGGCATATGATATCCAACCTATATAACCCTTGGTTGGACAGCTATACTGTGGTCACACAAGCTAACCTCGTTGTGCCATTGTAACATTTGAAACATCCTTTTCCATTAATACAAAGCCACAAAGATTTTAATGCACAAATCAAATCAATGCATTTCACTTAATTATCCAAAGGTATGTACTGGAAAGACTGACAGATGAATCATCCTCGCTTACTTTGTTCTAATTTTTGCCGTCTCTGTCTCCAGTACCCTGTCACTCCCCTCACTCCCTTCATCCACATTCTCTACCCGGTCTATCTCCTCTCCTACAGTCCCATCAGCTGTGGCATTTATCAACTCTTCATCCTCTTCCATTTCTGCTACCAGCAACATCACATTCTCTTTGTGTTTTTTTGAATTTTCATGATTTTGCATTCTGTAAGGTGCCAAAAAAGATGTAGCTCTTAGCAGTGGTGTTACTTTTCAAATAGTGCAGCTTTTTCTCTCAGATCAAAAAGAAAAATATCTTTGCACTTCAGCAATCTCAAAATATCTAAGACAATTGAGGTTTTTTTCAAAGAAGTAGNATTTTCCAGGAACAACATTAGTGTCCTGTTGATGGTCTATTCTAAGTGCATGTCCCGTGGCTTTTAAGTGTTGAAACATCTTATTTCTGGATGAAAACTCCTGGCCACATGTGTTGCAAAAATGCTGCTGATGCTGCTGGTTGCCACTTGTTTCCTTAAATGAATATTAAACAACATATGAACGACCAGATCAAAGCAAAAAAAAAAAAAAAAAAAAAAAAAAAAACTACATCCTCTACAAACTACTGTTTAATATATTCAATAGTTTAGCATATTATTTAAATTACAATAATAGCGCTTCTTTTCATTGTAATTCTTAAAAATATTGTCAACATGCACTTTGAATTGTTATTTTAATAAACAAATATTATAGGTGTTAAAGCAAGGCATTTTCATCGTAAATCATTACCTCCTGATCATTTTTCTCATGAGTCATGTCATCATGTGTGCTGAAATAAGGTAACACATAATTATGACCTTCTGTTTTTATTTAAATCTTATACAGATCTCTTAAAATCCATTTTAGTCAAATGCATCAGGTTGTAAGTTACTTGTAAGTTGGAAGTAAGACAAGCAGAAGCATGTTCATGTTCTGTTCACCAAGTCCAGTACAATATACTGGGTAACAAATACTGGCACCAACTGTCCTTGTCTCCGTCTCTCTCCGTCTCTTGCAGTCAATTGGAAACACCATTTCCCCCTTAAATGGGGTTAATACATCTAGCACAGAATTCCTTTTTTGATAAAATCTTTACTTACTTAGGGATTGCACAATTTGTTTTAGCTGCTTGGTCCAATGGAGTAACTCCGAGGTCTCCAACATCAGTCACTTGGATTTCATCTGCTGAGATATTAGAAGGTGCCACATCCACCATGCTTTCTCCCACTGCCTGTTCTTGGTCCACGTCAGACAGGTCCTGTGTGGTGGAAACAAGTTTTGGTCATAATTACTTTAAATTCAGACATCATCATTCGGTATCTTTGTTGTGCAGTTATATTCTTGAAATGTCAAATATAACACAGAATTTTGTTCAACTCACCTCTTCTTCCTGTTCTTGCTTTTTTCGTCTCCTCTCTTTCTTGGACAATCTGAAAAAAAAAAAAAGCATAGATATTGCTTCCTGCCTACAAGTTAGTTGGCTTTTAAGAAAATTACAGCTTTCCAGTCACATCCAATAAAATATAATGTAACAGATTAACTTTCCCCTCAGAGTAACTCCAATGGACTAATGCAATGATTCAGCTGTTTTTTATGGATGTTAATGTTTAAAAACTTTTTTATAATCTAAAAATTATTACACTACTGACTGTTTAACATTTAAATGACTGATCAATTCACTTATTATAAAATAAAATTACATTGACTTGACTCACTTTTTTGTACTGGTTGTATTCTCATTGACAGAACTGACATTATTATCTCCAGCTTCCTGCAATTTAACAGAAGGTTAACAGTCAACAATTTGATAAGAATCTGTAAATAGTTTATGTGCATTGATTTAATAATGACACATGTGCACACAATAGTATTTGTGACCTCCGAGAGTTCATAATAAACAATATTAAAATTTAAATATATTCAACTATGACAACCTAAAATTAATAAACCATATCTCAGCAACCACGATATTTTTGTAGACAATGCTATAAAAAGTGACTTCTATGTGTACATAACAAATCAAACAGCGAAGGTCAGGTTAAGAACACTTACATAAGTCGGAAACTTACCAATTTCTCAACTTGTGCTAGTTGTTTTCTCCTCTTTTTCTGCTTTTTAGATAATCTGCAAAACAGAAACAATCATTTTATGTTATCTTTAAATAAATCTAATATAAAGAAAACCTGCCCAGGTAAGCAGAATGCCAGTGCATATTCCTGGGTAAGTTACAAAATTATATTAATACAATAAAATGTGTTTAATATACCCTTTGAAAGGCAACTCTTGAATGTCTACCATTACATTATCAAAGGATATACATTTTAGGGTATTTAAAATGTAATTCATTAGCATCTTCACACAACAGGGGTACACATATAGGCATATGATATCCAACCTATATTACCCTTGGTTGGACAGCTATACTGTGGTCACACAAGCTAACCTCGTTGTGCCATTGTAACATTTGAAACATCCTTTTCCACAAAGCCACAAAGATTTTAATGCACAAATCAAATCAATGCATTTCACTTAATTACCCAAAGGTATGTACTGGAAAGACTGACAGATGAATCATCCTCGCTTACTTTGTTCTAATGTTTGCCGTCTCTATCTCCAGTACCCTGTCACTCCCCTCACTCCCTTCATCCACATTCTCTACCCTGTCTATCTCCTCTCCTACAGTCCCATCAGCTGTGGCATTTATCAACTCTTCATCCTCTTCCATTTCTGCTACCAGCAACATCACATTCTCTTTGTGTTTTTTTGAATTTTCATGATTTTGCATTCTGTAAGGTGCCAAAAAAGATGTAGCTCTTAGCAGTGGTGTTACTTTTCAAATAGTGCAGCTTTTTCTCTCAGATCAAAAAGAAAAATATCTTTGCACTTCAGCAATCTCAAAATATCTAAGACAATTGAGGTTTTTTTCAAAGAAGAAGTAATGACATACAGACTTTCATTTTGGTGAAAAAGACTTTGATAAACTGGATATAAACTCAATTTTCACAAAGATTTTCAAGAAATAAAAACTGAATAGTAACCCAAATTCCTTAATTATTAAAAATTTTGACTGGGACATCTAATATAAAACTTATTATTTTGTCTCAGTTTTTACTTACGCTTTGTGTGTCTTGAACAGTTTGTTACATGCCACACAGTATAATTCATCTCCTTCCTCTTCATAATCTTCATCCCCCTCCCCAACAACATTTTCACCTAATAATGTTATGAATGCAAATGTTCAGCATAAATTCATTATCATTATGTTAACAAACATGACACATAAGAATTGCACTTTCATTCATATTACGTATCAAACATAACACATAAGAATTGTACTTATATTCATAATATGCATTAATGTTAATATTTACATTATCATTTAATTAAAATTATCTACCCTCATCCTCTGCTGACTGTTCCTCCCCTAGCTCTCCTGCCCAGTGTGCTTCTAGATTTTCCAGTTCCTTTTCCAGTGCTGACATTGCAGACCACTCAGCTTCTTGGTAATTTTCTAATTTCCTAAGAAATGACAAGAGCTATTAAGTTTCCACAATTACAATGTTATGGTAACCTCGTTATATGTCAAAAAACAAAATATGCATATTTTTTTAAATTTTCCATTTTTAATTTTCATTGTTTAATTATATAACAAACATTCAATAACATTTAAGTCTACTCTTGAAACTAACTTCAAGCGTTCTTTCTTCTGTCTTTCTTGTCTTTCTTTCTGTTGTTTTGCAAGTTCTGCAAGCTTTGCTTCTTGCTTTTTCTAAAATATAAATAAAAAAAATATTTAAAAAAAAGAAAGATTCTCATCCATGCTCCTAAGAGTATGTCAAAGTCGAAACAACCTTTCAATAATACAAACAACTTGTTAACAATGTCTGAATAATCTAACAAGTTTTTGTTCACACTGTTATTCTTTTAAGTAAAAACTGACACAACACCTTGTCACACTTCAAAAACCTACCTTCTGGGCTTGCACTCTTTTATCTCTTTTCTTTACAAATGCTACCAATGCCTTAAAACAAAACAAAAAAAGACAATAAAACTACTATGTATCAAAATTCATCATTTCATTGTAAAATAACATTAAAACAACATTTTTTTCTCAAAATTTTAAGGCGATGACATGACATTCTCACTCACCCTGACTTCTTCATTTCTCTCCTTCTTTGCAGCATCTCTAAGTTTTTTGTTTTCCACTTCCAGCATTCTTCTAATTCTCCTATTGGGGGCATCTCGTATATCATGTTCATCCATCCATACATAGGACTTAGCTGTGCAGTAACTTTCCCAGTACCCATAGAATTGTTTAACAATCTACCAGAAAAGGAACTATTATTGGAAAATGTTGCCACTTTCAGGAGGAAAATAGAAACTTTCACATAACTGCAATTCAAAAGTATGTTTTATGCACAAAAATTGTAATCTTTCATTTGCACTAGGATACATGTTTTGCATAGTTTTTCAGGTCAGCTGGCAGCAAGATTTAAATGAACAAAGCTGCACAAAGCTAACATCACATGTGAATCCTACCTCATCATAGTCACTCTGTGAGTTTCCAAAATCAGGCATCTCATCGTCACTTTCTCTGTCCTCCATAAATTGACAATCTTCTTCAGCAATAGTTTTGAAGACCTCTCTGTATACTGCATAAAATCCCTACAAAGTGTACAATAAATGTTAAAAAAAAAAAAAAACACTTTTGGACCTCACCCTTTATATCTAATTTAAAATAAACACCCAAACCAGAAGTCACAATTTTTGGAGGCATTGAAGGCAAATATTGAATATTGAAGGCAAATATATATATAACAACACCTGTGTGCTTATTTTGATATCTAATCTCTTCATGTATACTGTTACATTGTATATAATTACCATTTCATCGTCTCCATATCCTGTATAACATGATGAATCAAAATACTGAAATATATTCAGGCTTTTGTCTTCATACTTTGCACCCTGACCCAAACCTAGAATGGGAAAAGTGAAAAATACTGCACTTCTATGATAATAATAACAAACCTGCATTTCTCAATTTTGAATAAAAAAGATACTCATTTATTTCATCCCCTAAGCAAAGGCATTTTCATTGTGTGAGCAAAGGAGATTATATAGCAGGGGCGTAACCAGACCTTTTAAAATTGTACGCACAGATTTTGAAAATTCCCAGGTACAATTATATTCCGTGAAAAATACACTAAATTTATGGAGAATAATATCATGATTGGCTCAAAAATTGTACGCACAGTGCATCCGTGCGTATGCCTGGTTATGCCCCTGTATAGCAAGTGAGAAATAAACTATACCTCCTCTCAGTATTTCTTCTCTGTGCTTGTCATACCATGCTCTCTCCTGGGGATCACTCAAGACTTCATAGGCTTGCTGGACAAGGCGGAACTGCATTGTTGCCTCCTCCATATTATCAAGATTCTTATCTGTGAAACAATACTGTAATTTTACAATATTTCCACATTTTTATAATCTTGTAACCCTTGGCTTGTCAAAGGAGAATTTGAGCTTGAAATTTTAAACTGATGATAAATTTATCAAAGGAATTATACCCACAAATTTTCTCTTAATTAGCAAATCTGTTATAGCGTACTGTACCTGGATGCCACTGGAGGGCCAGTTTTCGATATGCTCTTTTCATGTCATCTGCATTAGCATCCCTGGACACACCCAGGACTTCATAATGGCACTTCATCTTCTCGACTGCTAAAAATTTAACAAAAGGAAAATTAAATCTGTGAAGTGTGAGGTCATTTTGACACTGGACAGTACACATACAATTCGTGCCATTAGGTACTTACCCACCTAAAGAGACATCAGGTGGGTAAAAAAACTGATATTTCATACATGTGCAATGTACAGTACATGTATATACTGGACCCGGTGTAACAGGAATGGTATTCCGCTAGGAACTGTAGTCCGCACCATAGTTTTTACGGGTGATATACGCCCCATTTATAACACTCCGACTAACCTTAACCTGCACTAATCACACTGATTATATGGAGCCCCGAACTTTCGTTCCTGGGACTACCATTCCTGCCACACCGGGCTAGTAGCATTAAAGGTTTTTTGCACTTACTGGGGTATACTTAATTTCTACCAGCGATTTTTTATCAGATCCTAATACTCACAAAGGTTGACTAACGTAATAACCAAGGGCGCAACAAAATATGAACCAGGATCATAAAGATATAGCGGAAAACTTCAACATGACGTGCAATCTCAAAATGCTTCTATTTGTGACTAGTTCCCAAAATCTTGTCAAAATAATTCAATGGTGTTGTTTACTAAATTTTATCAGATGAGTTTAATTAAAGAATAACAAATATTTAAAAGTTTATTTGATATAATACCATTGTTTTTTACACTTCTAGCCGTATTTACATACTTTTAAACTTAAACTATTTTGATAAATCATTTTCGAGACCAATCAGGTATCTGTCCTTGATTCAGTGAAGTCGAGGCCGAGATGACAGCTTTGATCAGTGAAAACTTTCGAAGATTGCTTCGGAATTTGTTAGTATGTGGACCCCTACTCATGTTCAGATAACTGGTAAGTTATTGGATGCAACTATTAATGACATGCCTTTTCATTATTTGCTCATAATAAAGATTTTTTTAAATTTACCACTCGTTTTGCCTTCGACATTTGTGCTCTGTTCACATTTTTGGGGGCATAATAATAATAATAAATACCCAGTATACTGTACACGGTACATCCCAGCTAACATAAGATTAGGTGACTTTCAGCCTTTTTAATGGAAGTCTAAATTATTTTTTTGGATTTACTATTCCAGTCCACAGGGCTAGAAACATTGTGTGCAAAACTAAAGGAGGTAAGTAACGTGATAAGCTTTTTTTTCAGTTTTCCCCTTAATAAATAACCTGTATGACATTTCCAAATTAATGAATATTGACTTGTGTTTACATAAACTGAACAGTTTTCCTCATTTGCTAATACTTAATCACAAAACATTTGACACAGGTGAGGTTGTTTATTGGCTGCTGCATTTTGATAACATTTGTATATATGTACATATAGCACCTCTTGTTAAATTGGGGAGTACAATGAAATGAGTCACTTATTAAGCACCAATGAATAATTAAATAGCCTATGAAAAGGCAATCTTTTCTGAATTACTCTAACATTAGTGGATAACTGATGGCTCATCCATTAGGAATTGTTTTGCAATGTCTCATTGTCAACATCCTGTCCTTAGCACATGTACATGTATTTAGCTATCTCTTTAGATTTTTGATCTACAGAGGCACAATGATGCCACAGGTAAAATAGGCTCATTGCTTTACTTAACATAAAAAATCTTACCCACATACACACATATGTTTGATCAATCTTCACTTTCACCATTATGGCGGTTTAGTAGTTACTCCATTGTAAAATGATACTTCCAAGGAAAGTCAGTTTTACCAAACTGAAGCAGGTGGTGTATGTAATTTGTAATTTGTTTACAATAAAAATTGAGTTCTATCAAAATTACTGGTGAACTCTAAGAGGGAAAGTTTTGTCAGACATGGGGTCAAGCCATTTAATGTTTATTATGATGAAGACATAAATGAATGCTTGGCCTAACTTTCAAGACTACAGCTTGGAATTTGATAACTTGAGAAAGAAAGTTCAGTTTAATCAGTGTAGATGTGCTTGACATTTTTTTAGCCATTGTTTCATTTAGTGAGAGTTGTAGTATTCTAGTTGTACAATGTATCTACTTTCAGGAAGTGATGCTTTTGCTACCATTCAGCTTGGAGATGAAAAATTTAGAACTTCAGTGAAAACTAAAACATCAAATCCAGAATGGCATGAAGAATGTGATTTGTAAGTTTACAAAACATTTGATATTTAGTGTTGAAACTCTGCCTAGGGCACCAAAATTTTTTGCTATATGAGTATTTGTACTGGTTTTCCATAAGCCAAATGATTTCTTTTCTTGTCAGATCAGATATAAATTAGCAAAAAAATGCAATGAAATTTTTTTTTCATGCCTTTAACCAGTTTGAAAGTAAGTACTGATTAGTAATTATTTTTGCCAGCCTATCTTTATTCAATTATTTATGTAAGTCGAGGTTTATTTAACTATAAAAGGAAATGTAAGCACATAAAAATTGGAATGCATTATACTTGATTAGAATCACAACTATCAAAATAACCTATGATGTTTTATTAATCTTTGCTTTATAATGTATTTACAGATGTGCATAATCTATTGCTAGATGTTGGTCAGTAAAATAATGTCATCAACCACTACTATCATGCATTAGAATGGTGGCCAGACTAAGAGGATTTATTTGTCAGATTGATTGGTTAATCTTGAGTAGTTCATTGATTGATTGGTTAATTGCAGACAAATCCCTAATGACAAGAGTCATGTTGTGATCAGTGTTTACCATAGAAGCTTTGTTGGCCTAGATGACTTCTTAGGTCAGGTAACAATTAGCCTGGATGAGCTGGCTGTTTATGATGCACCAAAGAGCAGGTAGACTTCATCTTAGTCTGAGATATTTTCTGCTTAATCACATGTATAATTGTAGTTTAATTTATTTATTTATGTTATCCAATCACCTTTCTTCTAAATCCATGCATTTCATTTATATATTTGATCATATAACTAATCCAACATTCTTTAAGTTTTTAAATTTGTTTCAGTTGGTATGCATTATCCAGCAAACCAGGCAAAAAAGAAAAGCACAAATATCGGGGAGAGATTGAAGTGAAAGTCGGTTTCATTGTTTTAAGTAAAACAACCAGCTTGTTAGATGTCAGCAAAAAGAAAAAGAAATCAGCCAGTGATTCCATAAAGGCCATGGCCCAGGCTGTGGGTAAGAGGGATTGATGCACATTATTATTATTATTATTATTATTATTATTATTATTATTATTATTATTATTATTATTATTATTAATTGTGTTGTTAAGACCAGTGCTGGGAAAAAGACAGATTTGATTATTGCAATAACCAAATAAGAGACAGATGCTGTAGTGAAATTATGATGCTATCATTAAGAGTATTCCATTTAGGTTTTGTGAATTCCTTCAACATATGTTCTAGGTGATAAGTTGTCAGTTAAGAATCACCCCAGCAGGACAATGTCAATCAGCAGACTAGACATAATTGGTCAGAGCCGCAGCAAGAAATCTCTGTCTTCTTCACCTCAGCCGGTCAGGGCATCTTTTAACATATCTCCAAATGACACTGTAAGTAGTCACACCAGTGGCACAAATAGATTCTCCCCGGGATATACGTGACAAGCATTTGCTGTTGTGAATGGTTTAAACTTAATTTCCAAATGATGTCTGTAGGTTTTCATGATATGCTGCTGTCATCGGACAGAATTTAATAAACTGTGTTCATTGTTTTGCATCCACTAAAAATTCTATAAAGTTGACTTATTTGTTAAAGAAGAGTGATGAAAATGGGTACATATGTTTAAATGAAGTTCAACTTGTTCCACTTAATAATTTGTACTCTGTTATATAATAATCATATAATTCTTTCAGAGCTGTGGAGTATGCTTTGTTATATTAACAGTAGTTACCTTTTCTTTTTTAGCCTACACATGGTATGTACCAGAGTGGATCACTATCAGATTTATCCCACGAAAACAGCTCCACTCCAAACACACCGACAAGAGAACTGATCAAGGTAACTCTTTTGTCCCTATAGCCGTATTGGTGTTTTAAGATGTAGACAATGCACTTGATGGATAAAAATTAGGGTATTGCATTGTCCTTGGGTTGATTAACACTAAAATTTTATATTTTTTTAAGTTTAGAATGTATCCCCAGTGAAGAAGATCAGAGATAAATTTTCTTGAGTTACCCTCTTTTTATATTCAAGGAGTCCCATTTGTCAGCTGAATTTATTTTTAAACATGAACTCATGACACCAGGAATTTGCTTGGATTTCTTTGGATTGCAGTGGCTGAACTTTTATTTAAAAGGCAGCAGCATTTAATATTGTATGTATAGGAATAATTCACTTCCAGGTTCCAGTACTGCACAACAAAGGAAAGTGTTCCTCACTTGATGGTAAAGACACCCCTAAGAAAAGTCAGAAAAACAGATATTCCTGGGCCCCAGAGAGTAACTCTGGATCTGAGTGGTCTTTAAAATTTGGTAAGAAACAAATGTTTAATATGATATTTTAATTTCAAGTATGACATCAGGTCAAAAACCATTTTGAGCATTTTGAGCATTTTTGAAAATCTGATAGATTTTCTTATTTGGTCCGACAAAATAATGTTCTGAAAAGTACAAGTCCAGTTTATAGCAAGTCCATTTATATAGATAGCTTGTACATATTTCATATGTGTGCAATTATCATGAATCAGTGGTAGATTTAGAGAGGTGTCAGGCAACTCTTGAATATCTACCATTACATTATCAAAGGATATACATTTTAGGGTATTTAAAATTTAATTCATTAGCATCTTCACACACCAAGGGTACGCATGTAGGCATATGATATCCAACCTATATAACCCTTGGTTGGACAGCTATACTGTGGTCACACAAGCTAACCTCGTTGTGCCATTGTAACATTTGAAACAGTTTATAGCAAGTCCATTTATATAGATAGCTTGTACATATTTCATATGTGTGCAATTATCATGAATCAGTGGTAGATTTAGAGAGGTGTCAGGGGGGTCCTGACCCCCCCCCCCCTCCGCCCCTTTGATTTCTGAAAAAAAAAATCACACCAATGGTCCCCTCTTGAAATTAGAATTTTGACAAGCTGAATCATAGTTCTAAACCATACCAAATGGCACCCTTTGCCCTCTAAGATATCATTTTTTTTTGGGGCTCTTCAGCAGAACCCCACTCTGAGGGGGGGTGGCGGCGAGGGTCAGACCTCACATCCGCAGTCTATCATTCCTAAAAACCAGATCCCTCCTTCAAATAATCCTGGATCAACTCCTGTGAATGCTTGCCTGTGGTAAATAATTTTAGCCATTGGTGTGTGTGTGTGAGAGAGAGAGAGAGAGAGAGAGAGAGCGTGATGTATGTATTATTCATTTACAATTAGGCTTCGTTCACATGGAATGTCTATTTTCTAAAAATCTATTTTCTATTCGCGCTATCTTATGATCACGGTCTGTGCCCTGAATATCCCGCCGCGTAATTACTGGCAGCGCGAGCCAGTTACTTAAAGTAACTTATAGTTACTTTAAGTAGCTGCCAGTAATTACGCCGCGGGATATTCAGGGCACAGACCGTGATCATAAGACATACCGCGAATAGAAAATAGAATTTAGAAAATAGACATTGCATGTGAATGAAGCCTTAAGCTTAACTGCTTACTACTGTCTGTGCATCACATCAATGTGAATTACATTCAGGTACAGGAAATCCATCTGAAGAGCTAAGCAAGTCTGTTACCAACATTCACAAGGATTCTCCAACAGATTTTTTGAACAAGACAGTGGTTCCAGTTATCCATGTGCAAGACCCAGATGGAAGTGATCAGACCTTTAACAACACGTTCTCACAGGAAACCAGGGGTGCTAACAAAGCAATACTTGCATGTAAGCTGAAGTGTTTTTCACCTTACTTCTTGCTATTGGTAAAAATTAGCTCTACTGTAAAAGCAGCAAACCTTGATAAGATACTTATCTTATCTTATACTTATCTTAAAGATACTGGTTAAGTTAGTAGTTACTAACAATGCAATCAAGAACTGAACCTCTCTCACTGGTGTATGCAGAAAAGGGGGAATTATACTTGCATATAAAAAGAAACATCTGTATTCTACAATGTGCGTTTAGTGAGTTTTGCTCATCTGTTGTATTCCAAGATTCCTGGTTGAAATTGACCCAACTATGAATACCAAGTTTTAAGTTCCTAATGCGGCATTCTTTTTATTAATATTAGCTCGTTTAATCTTGTCATTTTGGTCTGTGATGTTGCCACTGCATTTGTCTGCTTATGTGGGTTTCAATCAAAATATTCTTAAAGGCAAATACTAGGTTGTTATTTCCTAACTTTTTTATCTCAGACTCCAAGCGCCATACCCTCCATGGTAGCTGTGTGCCCAAGGAAGTAAAGGCAGACCTGAAAGAGGGCAGGTATGACAGAGTACAGGAATTTCTGGATCAACAGAGGGCTAAAGAGAGGAAAGATGACACTGTACCAGCACACATAATTGACATGTACAAGCACATGACAAGAGAGGTAATGCAACTGCTGACTGCCATTTAACACTAAACACTTATGAGTAGGGCTGTAATTCCGCCTTGGGATATTGCATTTAGATTGGCCAAATTTTATAAATATCCACACTGTGTATCAAACGTAATAATTTTTTTTAATAAATAAAAGAAATTCAACATAAAAGAAGTCACCCAATCATATACATACATATATGTGAGAGTGGTTTTGCCACATTTTAAGTTTTTTGTTGTTGTTTAAAATTACGTATGAAATCACATCTTTCTAACTAAACCCAACAAATACGGCCATTTAGTTTCAAATAGCATAACTTAAAGGTAAAGTCTCATATCTCCCGAAAAAATATTTGAACAGATATTTTCTGCGTTCTTCCTATATGCTATATATAACCCTTGGTCATTTTCAGCAGCCCTCATTAAAAATTTTTATGCTATTGCGAATGCAGCAGTTTTGTATCATACATTTCTAAGTCATTTGAGAAACTGGAAGGACAGAGAAAAAGGTCAGGTTTACGACCAAAAATATGAAAAAGGTGCAGTTTTAAAGCTGTTTTTGCAGACATAGTGATTTATTTGGTTTTTTCCTTGACATGATGACTTTGTTTGAGTTGTATAAGAAACATGGAATCTATGAATGCTTCAGATGCAACTTTATGGGATGGGCTTAATATTCCCGTAAATTATTTTCTAGATAGATAAATGAAGGTGCACAGATGCACGTGTAGCACTGATTACTTGTAACAGCTATTTAATTTTCCTTTCAGGACTTAATCAAAACTGTGTGGTCCCAGAAGGAGCAGTTAGTTAAGAAAGATCAGTACATAAAAGACATGGAAAACTACATAGATACCATGTTATTGAGAATAATGGATACAGCCCCAAAGTTGCTTCAAGTTCCTTATAATGTCAAAAATATAAAGGAAAAGAAGAAAAAATGACACAAAAATTTATGAAATTCAATAAAGAGCAGCACTATGTGGAGAATTTCTTAACCTTATTTACCTGCATTTTCTGCTCTTAGTATGTGAGTCTTTTGTATATTTGGTTATTTTGTTATTTTATTAATTTTATTAAAATGTTTTGTATTGTGAAAAAATTGAGTTAATTTATATATCCTCAAGTAAAACAATAGATTTTGTAGCAGTTGAGGGAGATCTGGCAGAATTTTTTTTAAGTAAACCCACCAGGAAATCTGTTTTGAAAAATTAATCAGTAAGTTTTTTTTTTAAGTGCAATACGATTTTCAATCCATTCTGTATATCAAGTTGCTTATCAGCATTGTTTAAAACCATACATGTCAAACATTGAACTTTATCTCATGTGGTATCTAGAGGCAGCTTAGTGTCAGTGGACATATCCAAATTGAAAGTAAGATTTAATTATGTGTAAAATATGTAAAAAAAAAAATATAGCAATTATGTTGTTGTCAGAGGTAGTAGACAGCGTAATATCATTAACTGTACAGAACTGTTCAGTGAAGTGCATTTTATAGCCAGTATAAAGGCAAATAGATAATTACCAGTGGTCACATCCTGTCAACGTTTACAGTATCACAGAAAGTAAGAGGACTTTAGATTATTTTAACTATTTAAGTGTGATAAATGTGGATTGCACATGGGATAGAGTGAATATGTACTGCTAGTCCAAACAACTGGCATATGTTGTCAAATGTATTTTTCTCATTCATTCATGTGTGTAAGTATGTAACTTTAATATTTTATGTTAGTTTTTCATAGTATTAAATACTAGGGGTATAGAAAGCAACAGTATAATCAGTCCTTTTGTCCCTGGTTAAGCAAATTAGTTTAAGAATTGCTTCCCAGTATGGCATCTTTTTTTTTTTTTTTCCTCAGTTCAGGCCTTATTAATGGATGAGTTTACAAACACTACCCACAGATCTTTTGGCACAAAAGCCCATATTAACCACATAATACACAAATTATTAAACACACCCTTAAGTATTTACCACTGCCAAAGTGATTCCTAGCACCAACACTCATCCGCTCTGATAGTAGTAAATACTTATATGGTGTGTTGGTTAACTCGTGGGTTATGTGGTAAATATGGGTGTTAGTGCTTAAAAATCTGCAGGTAGTTTTAGTAAATGCCTAATCTGTTAATAAGGCCTGCAGTTTAACTGTATGCATGTGGTGGAGAATATTTTACAGTGTTTGGTGCTAGCTTGATGCAAGTTAGTCATGGATTTTATGTTAATTGTTCTGCACTCTGATTTGGAAAGATTTCTGATGGGTAAACTTAATTTTAAGTTTAAAAAACTGGTTACATCAGCATATCAGCTTTCGGGATGTTACTTTGACATTTTAACCTTTGATTTTATAATTCAAACCTAGGTTTTATGTCACATATTCAGTTTTATTTTGAAATGATAGGGCAATTCAAAAGGGTAAAATTACGGGATTGGTAGAGTTTCAACAGTTTAACTGTGAATATCAGTGCTGAAGTATTTGTGTATTAACATTTTTTGCATGTTACTGTGCTTTTTGTAATGTTTAGGGGAGAATACTTTTTTGAACATTGTAATAATGATCATGTTTTTTTCCTGGAAAAATATTAGTAGGTTTATGTGAAATCCCAAAGTCTTCTTAGATAAACCAAAAGAAGTAATAGAAACAAATCTTGCCAAATCGTCATCATATATAATATTTCAATGAAAAACACTCATGTATTATTAATATAGCTATTAAGATCAAGCAATATGAAGAGATATAGGTCTTCCATGCTTTTCCAAATTTGCTCAAATTTTTTTCTAGTTTCATTAAAATGTAGGATATTCAATGTGCCAATTTTGACAATCCATACAGGTTTTGACAAATATGGGAAGAAGTTTACATTATTAGTTATTGAAAAGTCTATTTCAAATTTAATAATATTATATTTGATAAAAAATTGTCCTAAATGATTGAATACTGTCAAGTTTTATGAAGTATTTTAATAATATGCTCTGCTGCTGCATGCAGTACATTTAAGTAAAAGTACTTCATTTGAGTGTTTTGAAGCATGTTCAATAAAATACTGACATCAAATTAACGCATTGCTTTATTTTCTTTAATACTCCCAGAGCATAAGCCTTTTACTTAAACATTACACATTCAAGTCTGAAGGGCAACATGTTTTTTTCTTGCTATAACCACTGGTTGGATAAATAGTTGCAAATATTTTTTTACGAACCAACATACCAAAATGCAAGTTTGTTAAATTGTGGTGGACTTCCAAACCAAAATAAAACTTCCCAGAACAAATTAAAAAAAAGCCCCAGTGTCACCTTTACAAGTTTTGAAAACATTTGCACCAGGACTTGAGCAATATGGCAAATTTAGAGAAAAGTGTTTTATAGTTGTCCTGCACATCAACATGTAAGCCCCAGGAGAACAATGACATTTAATGCCATATCTCTGCACCCAGTTTTGTTTATTTCATGCTGCAAGTTGAAATGTATTAGCTTGGTTTCCTTTTGAAAATATTTCTTCTAATAATTCACCTCTCTGGTAATTCTGTGATCCATTAACCCTGAGAGGAGTTCCTCAATAGCCATTGTAAGATGCTTTTTACTGATCCAATAATGACATAATAACAACTCAGTATTTAGCTTTGCTAATCTGTTAATATTCTCCAATGATGTTAATTTAAGCTCTGTAAAGGAATAAATGGAATTCTCTTCAGTTCATTGCATTCACAGCCTGTCCATTGATTGGTGGTATCAAGTCCATTAAGTATAAGTACATAATTCAATTGCCTTTTAATCTGAAAAATAAAGTTAAATTATTTTTAAACATATTGTTGTATAGCTGCCACAGATTGTTGAATTATATTTGTAAAAGAAATAACCTATCTAGATCACCGGACAAAATAAATATGCAAACATGTTATATTAAAACACTTATTCAGACGGTTATGGGGTGACCACTATATTAAACATTGGTTATTTCCAAATACAAATCAAGTGTGCAGATATCCCTACTATTAACATGCATGTATATAACTTCCACATCCACACAGACAATGGATTAAGTGAAAACCTATCACAGCATGGAAATGCGCAGATATAAACCCATTACTAATGCATTTTGTTTTTATCAGTCCACGGGGTTAACAAAGGTCAAATGACAACAAGGGTCATGTTACAAATTAAGATATTATATGTGACCAATGGATAAGACTTGGATTTACATCCATACTTTTCCCTCTCAGAAGTCAATAATCGTATATATAATTTCTAATGTTATAAACAAGCACAGTAAACACAGTCAAAGATGACGTGACTTCCTTGTAAACAAGCTCCAGCTTGTAATCCATATTATAAATAAGAGTAACCTCCCCATAATAAGGTCTTCACGTACTTTCATTAGATTAGGACTAATTTCCATCACTTTTCTTGGTCACTGGATGTGGTTTCTGATCCCGCTGTTTGTGAGAGTTATTGACGAGTTTCTGCACAGTCTTCCTCGTGTGGCCCGAAGGGTCGTGGTGATTCGTGTGCTGCTCTGCTTCTTTCTTTGAACGCCCCTTACCACTGTTTGAAGACATGTACTTATCTTGCTCATAGTTATAATGTTCTAACTCATCCTCCCCTGGATCCATCCTAACTTTTTACTGGAAACGTGCTCTCCCTCCGAGAAAAAATATGGGCCTGAGCTGCGAATTGAGCAACGTGGCTGTGTTTATATATAGTGCGTGACGTCACATTCGGTCATGTGCGCACGTAAAGTTCGCTGCTCGGTCTTTTCCGGAGTCCCTTGCCGATAGTCTACGAGGCCGTCTCGTGAACGGATCATCTTGAAAAATTAGGATTTGCGTGTTAGTTCAAAATAGTTTTTATTGAAAAAACATTTTATCTTAGTGGTCATACATGGTAATAATCAATCAGTTACAGCCAACATTGGTTATGCTGAAACTGAATTTTGATTTCACACTCCTCAAATAGGCCCCTATATATTTTTTCACGCGATATAAAAATGCAAGGAGTATGCAACGTACACGTAATTTCACCCAACAACAAAAATGAGTCGTTGTAGAATTATCATATAAGCCTACATAGAGCCAAGGATATTGATAGGATGTAGGTGTACATGCTCACCGACACCGTTTTTTTTTTTTTTTTTTTTTTTTTTTTTTGTCATATAGGCCCTACTGTAGGCCTAATCTTCTTAGTTTATCCGTAACCTGATCAAATAGCAAAGCTCTTTTTGTTTTGACACCAAAAATCACTTACTTTTCCTTTAAGTAGGCCTACTTTTCCTTTTGCGTAACCCGAATCCCCATGAATATTATGATAGAACAGGCGCTTTTAATGTAAGTTCCCAGATTAACAGTATTTTCCAAATTAAATGGCGTGGTTTATGAAAACATCTGTTCATGATGTTTACTTAATAATATCAATGCATTAGTATAGACAATCATTCAATATATTTTCCTAGTGTATAAAATAAAAATGTCTGTCGTAACAGGTTTTCGTGGAGACAACAGACGTGTATAACATTCAAATCGTGCCTAGACTGTATTTCAAGTGTAATATTGTTTTTTTTATTCATGGCTTCCATGTTGCACTCGACCGTATTCAAAGACACAATTGTTGCACTGCGGAAAACATAGATCATAATGAGAAGTAAGTCTTAACTGCGTCATCCTCATGAAGAATCAGTTTTTCTCTGATGAGGGAAAATCAAAACTCTTATTAAAAGCATATTTAAAGCAATTTGATTAAAAGCTGTTTCATTCGTAGAGGTTGAGTGCCACCAATATCTTAGGGTAAGTGCCACCAATGTCTTAGGGTAGAAAATATCACTTGTTAAATTATGCTATTTCAAGAAAAAATTACTCCTGTTTTTATTTTAAAACCAAAAAGGCTTTATAAGAATAACGATAATAGCCTTAAAAAAACAATAAGCATAAATTATTTTATAATTTGGTCTAGAACAAATGCGTGTTCCACAAGAGGAAATTTATATGTTTATTACTGGCGAAATAAAATTTGCATGTATATTGATCTGCTCGTTCGTTCGTTTGTTTGTTTGTTTGTGGTCAAATTTTTGTTTCACGACAGAGGCCACGATTTTAAAGATTTGGGTTTCAGGAAATGTTTGTATATTGATTGGTTACTGGTCTAGGATGAACCTTTTTCAGAAAGAAAATACATATCGTTAATGGAAAAATTCAAAGTTTTCAAATTAACAAGGGCAAAGCCCATTAATAATTTTACAATATTCTGTTTTTTTTTTAATTTTTGGTGTTATCACATCAAATTCCATGAGGTAATAACACAGTAGGTCATGACTTCTTCAAATTTACCAAGTTTCAGCCAGAGGATCATGCTTTTGTCTATATAATTTTTCACGTTTTGATATTTATATGTGAAATCACATGGACATTTTTTTAAAATTCTGTATTTTTTTTAGTTTATGGTGTAATCACATCAAATTATAAAGTTATGTAAAGTGATACTGCGCGATGACTTTTTTCCAACTTACCAAGTTCCATCCAGAGAATCATGTTTGTTGTCTATGTTATTATTATTTCTTTTTAAGTTTTGAAATTAACATGTGAAATCCCATAGACAACTTTTTAATAAAATGGCGTTTTACTGGCACCCAAGGACGGTAGATTCTTGGATAATAGTTCGCAATTCCTAGCTCAGCGAGCAATTTTATTTTAATTTTCAATTAAATTTTGATCATTAAAGGAAGAAAAAAACAAATGATAGAAGACAAAAGCAGATTTTTCTCTATTGCGAACTTTTGACACAACTTTAGATTTGTAAGAAACACACTTGACAAGTTTAAATCCCAACACACACGCACGCGCATACACACATACATGCCACAAATTGAGTTCTAGCAACAGGTCCTACCCTTTGTAATAACCAGCCGGTAGGTTATTCAGGTTCTTAGATTTCTTTTTCACCAGTAAGACAACCGAGACAGGCAGCTTTTCTACATGGTTTATTTAACTGACTGTTGGCCTACAACTAAGGTCTCTGCTCTCTCTCTCTCTCTCCATTTCGCTCTCTCTATAAGTATCTACATGTATATCTGTATGTCTCTATCTATATGCCCCTCTCCCCCTCTCTGTGGCTTGGTTGCTGCTTTTATACTTGATTCTAATTTACATTTTAAATGAACTTTTATAACTGATATAGTCAGGCGGCTAAGTCCAAATTATATCCAGAATTGTGCAAAAGTTGATAAAAGCATGAAAATTTCCATGGTGAATGACCATTGGGTGTTTGTCAATTTTGGATCGGGTGGCAACTCCAAAATTCACAAGTATCCGGATGAGCGGCTTTCTTAAATACGCTGACTAAGCATTTTATGTGCATTCAGATTTCACCAAAACGAGCACTACCAGTACTAATTATGATTTCATTAATAGATTTAAAAAACGTACGCTCACTGTGCACATCTATGAGAGCAATGAGACGTCACTATGACGTCATTGGGTGATATTGCATAATATAGAATGACAAATATCTACTTTCTCCCATAGGAACAATAGTCGAACCCTACAATGTTTCTTTCCCGTAAATTTTTATTACAGAAATGCATCTTTTAGGGCTAGAAAGATAAAATAAGCTTTATTGCTACTTCCGAGACATTGAGCATTTATCAGTATGGCCGTCAATTTTTGGGGAAAAACAGACTTTATTTGTGGCTCTTGTGAATGTGTTTTCTGTCGGAAGATCACAGTAGGGTAGAAGACTATATCCTACCACGTCACGTCCCTGTATACCCCCCCAAAAAATGCCGCCAAAACATAGGGTAGAGGCAGAGGGTAAAGAAAATCAGGAAAATCAGCATATTTCTGGTATAATCAGTCTAATTAACGGCATCTTCTTTTTTGATTTTTCCGTTCATTGGGGTTTTTCCGTTAGCCATTCTCCTACACTACCATTATCTGCTTGTTAAATATTCATCTTTCGTAAGCCCTCCAAGTAGTCAAGTTGCCACTCAAATTGGTCCCAAATTTGAACAAGGCTATGTTGTTTTCTGTAATTGTTTGAAAAAGAATTGTATTCTTTTGGGTTAGAAAAGTCAACTTAGCTTGGCTTTACTAACTTCTGGGACAATGACACTTTTTGTAACCCAAAATGGCTGCCAATTTTTACGTAAAAGGATATAAATATTCATAGCGATTTACATCAAATTATATACAGTGCTTGTATATTCTCCATTTAAAAGTCTATTTGAATGTTTACAAATACAGATGTGGTGTGTATTAGGATTTTCCTTTACTTAATCTGCAAGTCCTTTTAATAGAAATAGCAAAATGGCCACCAAAACGGTACGGAAAAGGCAGGTAAAAAGATGGTAAATTATGTTTTTTTCAACTGAAAAAAATTTTAAACTAATGAAATCTGCATATACATTGTTTGTCAGTAAAATATTACGCATGTGGTCAACACATGCAACATAATAAAACAGATTGGTTGACTGGATGCTACAAAAAGGAAAGGAAATATGTTCGTCAAACTTCTTCTTCGGTTAAGCAGTCAGTCATCTCTGATATATATATCAGCAGTAACCACTTAATGTTTGAAAAAATAAGGCTACTGACCAATGCAAGGGATTTCCAACTTTGGTTAGATTTTTGATTAGGCTTTTTTCAGCGAATCGTCCAGCCGTCATTTGAAAGCTGAAAGCTATCAGACCTTCAAGCAACACCTGACAGCGCTGACAGAGGAGAAGGCACTTTTCATATTCGTTCAACTAGGGGCTTCGTTTGCGGGATATGGTCAGCGGTAGATCATTCGCGATCGGAGCAAGACGCGAAGGCAATTTACATATCTCCAGAGGGAGGTCGTTTGCGATCCGAGCGAGACGAGAAAGAAATTTTCATATTCGTTCAATTGATTTTGTTCGCGGAAGATTGGCAGCGTACAATCGTTACCGATCCAACCGAGACGCCAAGGCAATTTTCATACCTTTAGCGGGATGTCGCTTTCGATTCGAGGGAGACGAGAAAGCAATTTTCATATCCGCGCAAAGGACTTTCGTTAGCGGCAGATCGTCAGCGGGAGATGATTTCTTTTCCTTCTGCCTTTGGTGGGTTCAGGGGGTATAACAATAGCAAAGGTGTTTAAAACTAGTGTAATTCACATTCACAAATTTGCGTGTTTCCTTATTTTGACCACGTGGGTGCTAAAAACCTTAGGAATATATGAGAAAGCCACACATATGGCGTGCAGAAACTGCACTGAGACTGAACGGACTCGGTATGATCAGTTTCAGTTGACAAACCGAATTCTCCCTTCATACCCTTAAGCTCATTTTAGCAACAAGGCACAGCACAAGTATGTAATGTAAAGGTATTTGGCGTAGCCCGTAGCCACTTGCGATGTCATAAAATCGCACGGAGAACCTTATACGATTTCATTGTACGGCATCCGTAGCAAATGTCATATACCGGTAGACTTTAGCGATCCAAACGAGATGAAGAGGCAATTTTCATATCCTCAGCCGAATATCGTTATCGATCCGAGCGAGACGAGAAGGTAATTTTTATATTTGTTTTAGGGACTTCATCAGCAGAAGATCGTTAGCGGGAGTTAGTTGTGGATCCGAGCAAAACGATAAGGCAATTCGAATATCGTCAGAGGGAGATTGTCAGCGATGCCTGAGATGGTAACAACTGACTACTGAATGTTAATTTTTTGCATTAAAATCCACGTGCTCTAGCAGTTCAGACTACCACCAAAAAGAAACTACCAAAATGAGTCTGTAATTAATTTTTTTAGATATTTTTTATTCTCCCTTCTTTGAAAATTATTCTTTTTTTTTCATTGCATTTTTTTTTATTTTTGAATGTCAAACAAGCTGATAATGATAGCTAAGGATCATGGCTAATTAAAAATCAAAATGAACAGAGAAATGGAAGGCGTTTTAATTAGACTAATTATACCAGTAATGGACTGACTTTACTGCTATACTTCATCCTCTCCTGTATGCGTTGACGGCCATTTTGGTTTTTCAATACCAGAAACGTGCTAGTATGCAGTCAATTATCTTACTGTGTTCTTACGACAGGAAATACATTCACAAGAGTCTCAAATAAAGTATATCTGCATGGGCGTAACTAGGCATACGCACGGATGCACTGTGCGTACAATTTTTTGGCCAACCATGATATTATTTTGTATAAATTAAGTGTATTTTTCACGGAATATAAAAGAAAATCCTCTGCTTATTAAAGTCACCTGTATGTACAAATCCTCTGTATCAATTGTATTAGGCACAATTGTTCTGACCCCCCCCCCCTTCCCCCCCGTCTTGCAAACTGAGATAAACAATGCCTGTAACCTTAACAGGTCCTATCTTAATCGTCCATCTAACTGAAACTTCCTTTACCTCTTAATTGGAGGGTTCAGTGGCCTTCAACTCTTCTGTACCCTCTTTCTTGAGAATATCTGGCGATATTTATCTCAGGTAAAAATCTGCCTGAGTGTTATTTTCAAAGAGCAGCTCCTGCAACCCTGGGGGAAATAGATAAAATTTGGACACCAGGTTTAAGAAGGAGCTAGAGAAACAAAGGAAGAATTTTTCGTGCAAAGCTTCAAAGAATTTTGACACGGACTTGACCCAGCTTACCCCTCCAAACTAACAGGGTGACATGGGCAATTTTTACGAACAAATAATTAAACTTGGATGTATCAGAGCTCTATCGTGTCGTACAATTGGTTGTTTTGGGGAGCCATGCATCCACATGTAAGGTGAATGAAACCGTATGTTAGTTCAACTCAGAGGTGGATCCAGGATTATATATTCGAAGGTGGTTCTACATATGCAAAGCTAGCCTCCTTTTAAATAAATATACCGTTCTGGGTAATAAGAATATTGAAACTTTTTAAATTGCGAGAATATTTCTGACTGAATGATGATTTTATTATTAATGGAAATTAAGCTGCGATGTGTTGTACATATGCTGTAATTACGCTGTCCTTCATCTCTTGTGTTAGTCTACATTTTGCTGGGAATTTTAAAAATCTGTGCGTACAATTTTTAAGGGTCTGGTTACGCCCCTGATCTGTCGACTTTTGGTCGTTTTTCTATTTTCCCTCAAAAATTGACGGCCATATTGAGAATGCTCAAAGTCTCGGAGGTAGAAACCAAGCTAACTTAACCATTCCGGCCCTGAATGATGCATTTCTGTAATGAAAGTTTAGAGGAAAGATCATTGCAGGGTTCGACTATTTGGCATATACTGTAGGAGTGAGTGGACATTCGTCATTTTGTATCACCCAGTGACATCATCCTGACGTCATTATTGCTGTAATAGATGTGCACAGTAAGTGTACGTTTCTCAAATTTATTCATATTATCATAATTAACGTAGGCAGTGCTCGTTTACGTGAATTGTGGATGTACAAAAAAGCTGAGTCATCATATTTTAAGAAAGCTGCTCATCCGGGTACTTGTCAATTTTGTAGTTGCCCCCCTATCCAAAATTGACGAACACCCAATGGTCATTCATCGTGGAAAGTTTTATACTTTCATCAACTTTTGCTCATTTTTTTTTTTTTTTTTTTTTTTTTTTTTTTGGGCTTAGCCGCCTAACTACATGTAATATGCAACATGCCATGCTAATATACATTTGAAGAAATTAAAACTTTATTGTAGATACATTTAAATTATACAAATCTGAATTCCCATAAATTTTTAGATCGATCTATCACCGTGGGGAGTCTCACTAGATTGTTGTCAGCTTAGCCGGCTTAAATGTCTGTCCCGCCTACTAAAAGCTGTATGGGGGTAATTAACTTTCGTGCGCGCTCGGCTGACAGCGTGAACCCCCAGGGAGTTAGGTCGATCCAGATGGATCGATCTAAATCTGTGGGAACCCAGTCTATATGAAATCAGCTACATGTAGATGGCGCCACATTCAAAACCAACCGTTTCATGCCCTGTTTACTCCAGCCTGAGACTTAGTCGACACCCTTCGACCTCGTGATCACGAAATTTTGGTAACTTTCAGGTCTGCCGCGCTCTGCATTTAGAGCCTTTTTGCGTTTCCACCAACCCAGCAATTGCAACCTAAATTCCGTTTACACAGGGTTTAAGACTGCTAAAACGATATTTTTGGTCTATTCTCGCCTTTGGTCGCAGGAATCTTATCTCGTGACACCTGACGGACACGACAAAGGTGTTGTTCTTTAGATCTATTGTTTGCTGTGCACTTACAATGGAACATACCAACGCAAAGCGAGTTTACGAAAGCTACTCGGACGTGATAGGTGATGAATACCATGTATACAAAGGCATTCCCTTCCCGGGACATCATGTGCCTGCTGAAAGGTTGGAAAGAGTTCCAAACTTCGAAGTTAGAGCTGATGATATTCTGGTTTGTGGGTACATGAAATCAGGTAGGTGCGGCTGTCTCCTGCATTCATGTTTTTTTGAGTTCTTTTGATCTAGACTACGTCATTTCAGTTAAAAATGGTATCTTGGACCACCAGTCTTTTCAGGTACTTAAATGTTTAAGTCATGTATAGATACATGTATGTATTATGTACCTACTTTTTATTTGATTATTTCATTTTTATCTATCATAACATCTATTGTTATTTATGTGAACTACTGAAACACTTTGGCCATGTTTGAGATTCCTTGAGACTTGTTCCGAGTATGGTTTCTCGCGCAGAGATTGCACTTGACCGTATAATCAGCCTCTAGCATACCTATCTAAGTAGGGTAGTGTAAAAAAGAACTTTTTTGGAAAGTTCTGGAGGAACAAGTGTTTTTGTAGGCAAAATGGACCAAAAAGTCCGTTTCTGGTGAAAAATTTGAGCTACAAGTACATGGATTATTTAGGTTGGTAAATACACCATTTTTGGAAAGGCAGACAAACCGTGTGTGCCTATATATAGAACATGTACATGTACTCGTGTTGAATAGGGTTGGATGAATTTCAAATGTTTTGATTAACGGGTGTGACAGAAATTGATGCCAAACACATATTTGACAATTGTGCCTTTTTTTCACAACAATCCTATAGATTGGTAAATACCGACCTAAAAAGTTGTAGAAATAAATAGTTGTCATATTTGTGTTCAGCATCAAAGTTCGCTTGGAAAAAGCACCTGTTATAGAATTTTCGTGATTTACCCTACCCTAAATTAAGTCTTTTACATTTCCTATAGTGTTAGAAACTCTAGCACTGAAGAAGAGGAGTAGAACGATTATGGGGGTACTTTAGGCTGAATATTCGGTCTACCTATTCTCGTGGCTTTTCTTCAATAACATCACCTTATCATTGTACCATAAGTATAGGCTCCTCCACGCACCCGATGATTTTTTTTCGTGCAGGTAATCACTGGCTGAAGGAAATCGCATCACTCATAGTTCATGGTCACGACTCGGACAGAGTGAAAGAGAACATATTCATGAGAGCCCCATTCTTGGAGGTGTCTCCAAAAGGTAATGTCTGTTAAATAAAATAAGCATATATATTAGGATCTCATATCCGTGAATCTGAGATCTGATAAAAACAACTATAGACTTTTACTTTCGGCCAGTAGGTTGTTTTGCAAATATCAGAAAAGCGATATCAACCTCGACTGTCCCTCGGTTGATTTCACTTTTCTGAGGTCTGCAAAACAACGTGTTGAACAACGTGTTGATTTCGGCTCAATGAGAGCGGGAGATATGGTAGAAATCAAAGATTATATGAGTGTACGTGCCGTTTGATATACCACGTGCTCTCTCACTCTCTCTCTCACTCTCTTTTCATTTGGTAAATAGGGCGAAGTTGGCGCTGGACATAAAAAAAAAGATACCATCTAAAAAGATACCATCTAAAATGCACTAAAATGTTACCTAATTACCACACAATTTTCGAAGCAATTGATGCATGCAGTTGCATGTTCTGTGGTCAGAAATGTGAGGGGTGGTCTTTTCGGCAATTTCTGCCCTTGTATAAAAACGCATGGGTTCGGTCAATCTTTGGAGCGTGTTTAGAGAAGCAACAAAGGGATCGCTCTGAAACTTGACAGGTACCTTAGTGAAGATATGGTTCGACAGCTAAGCAACGCAGCTTACTATGGGATTCTTGCTCTCTTTTTGGAGCATTTCATACCGGTAACCAGAACCAGTTGGTATTTTTAGGAGGCAACCTCAACCAGGGTTCCTACAGAGACATTCTACAGCAAACAATGCTTCGATTTGTAAGAGTCATCTTCAGGAACAACTTTGTGTATCAAGACGACTGCGCAATCACACATCGGGACCGCAGAATCACTGTTTTTCTTCGAAACCAATGGGTTCAGCAACTGCCCTGGCCTGCAAACTCCCCAGATATGAACCCAATTGAAAATCTGTGGGCGAAAGTAACTCACAGAATTAATAGCTATGGTCATCGGCCGGTAAATGGTGATGAACTACGACAGGCAAATATCACTGCGTGGAATGATATCCCCATCCAAACTCCAAAAAACTTGTCACAGGGTATGCCATGTAGGATGAGGGCGCTGCAAGCGGCTGCTGGAGGTGATACCCGCTATTGATGACTTTTCATGATTTACTGCAATGTGTTCTTTGACTGTGTAATATATCACTGTCCGGAGGCTATCATTTTCTTTAATATCTTAGCTTAAAATAATACTGACATCAAACTGTTGATATGGTTTTCTGGGGGTGTTCTTTTCTTTTGAATGACATCTTATGTCAGATTTGATATTATTGACCAAAATATCTCACAATAGAAGACTGGATATTTTTATCACTCAATGACATACTTTTTTTGATGAATTAAGCCAAAAGATTTATAATCAGCACTCAAAAATAACAATGATAAAAAATATTCTATATTAAGTAGTAACCCTGTATGACGCAATGATACCTCTTTTATGTGATTTTCCCACAAAAATTGAATTTTCATAGAAAAAAAGGAATTCTTTCCTAAGCACAAAGCATTGCTCGATCCATCCCTGAACTTGGATTCGATGTTTAATGCCATTTCTGGTAAACAAAATTCTTTAGTAAAAAATTCTTTACTCAAAAATTTCTCGTTAGTCACTTAGACTGCCATGTATATTTTTAGAATGAAATATCGACATAAGGTGCTTTTGCTTGAAGATTTTTTGTTTTGTTTTGCTTTTTTGGTCTAAATTGGAAAAGATAAGTACCTTTGCAGGATATGAATTTGGGACATTTTCAAACGCGGAAAGTAAACACTGAAAGGAATTTCCATAAGTGTATTTCTTAATTGTAATTTTCTTTGTTCAAAATATCAAGTCATGGGTGATTCGCTGACAAACTTGACCAACCTACCAAGAAACGGACCCAGAATAATGGGTACACATTTGCGAGCCAGCTTATTACCGCACGGGGTGACGAAAGAGCGCAAGGGCAAGGTAATATTATACTGTTTAAAGTAAAAAATAGCTTCGATACAGCCGCTTTTTAACAGCTTACCACGGGATATGACCAACGAAAGGTAAGGTATGATAACGATGGTCAACGTTAACATTTAATATAGCTATAGAGAGCTGTCCAGACTTTAAGAAATATCTGGCAATTTCGCCTCCGACCCTTCAACTTCCATACAAAATTCACTAATATACATGACTAACAGCGCTTTTGCTTCTCGCAGGTGATATTTCTGATTCGGAATCCGAAGGACATAGCTGTCAGCATGTACCACTTTCACAGAATGAACCGAAACCTGGGCTTGTATGAAGGAACATGGGCGCAGTTCTTTCAGTGGTTTTTGAACGGGGAAGGTAATGCGTGTGTGTGTTTGTGCGTGTGCGTTTTTACAATTGGCAGATTTTTGAACAGCTACAGAAACTTGAATAATGCATCAGACTGACCTCTCCCAATCTCGATCTCTGTCTCTTTACCATTTGCATTTACGTAAAACTGCTTTTTGTACATTCAGTTGTATTTGGATCGTGGTTTGACTATGTGCTTGACTGGATTCAGTTCCTGCAGCAGAACAGATATTTTGTGCGTGAAATATGAAGACATGGTTCAGGTAAAGAAGGTTTATAACGCTTTAATTAAGGGTAAGCAATTGAATAATATCATGCATTTTCAAAGACAAGGCACTGCGTATGTGATAGATTCGTAAAATTTAAGAAGTGACGCTTATTTTAATCATTTCTGTACTTCAGTCTAGCGTTAGTGTACCGTTTTCCAGTACTGATGTGTGCATCCATCATAATTGACGTGATTACTTACTTCAAAATGGCCCACGTGTAAATCTCAACCATCCAACCCTACACTGTTCTTCACATTTTTATTTCAAAAATTTTTTTCCGATTGAACGTTAGTCCTATCCCTTTGAAAATGCTTTCATTGTCATTTTTGTAATTACTTCATATCAATAAGAAATAATCAATAATCACAGACAAAGACATAAATGATAAGCTAAGATATTACTATCACATGTTGTTGTAGAATCTGGGAAAGGAAGTGAAAAGGATCGCTGAGTATTTAGGATATTCTGTTAGCCTTAAGGAGCAAGAGGAAATAGCCGCTCGGTGCACTTTTGCATCTATGAGTAAGAACCCTGCGGTCAACTTGGAGGATGCCCCTTTCTTTGATGTGACAAGATCTAAGTTCTTGAGAAAAGGTGAGTCCGTCAACCATTTGATAATCAATAAACTGTTTTATTATAATTAATGGCCTCTTGGTAGTGCAAAATGACGGTCAAATGCAGGTCACAAAGTAATATAATCATCCTTCTTGCGTTTGACATATCGAATGTCGTTTGCAGGATATTGCGTAAAAGTTTTGCCTTTTAAAATAGGTTTAATATTTAGATGGCACAAAAGAATTCAATAGATAAAGTTTTTTCCGATGGAATAACATCAGAAGTGATGGAGAAAATGCGTTTGAATACATAAAAAGGTAGTGAAAATACCATCTGTTCATTTCGTGATAAATATCTAATTCAACTTTCGTTCTAATGGAGTATTTCACGGTAATAAACCATCACTTTTAGCACTGGGTGTCTAGGTGAAGATCTAACTGAATTTTAGATTATTGCTATTAAAATTTCGTAACTCAATGGGTATATTAATTGTCTGCTCCAGGTGAGGTTGGAGACTGGAAGAACTACTTTACAGTGCACCAGAACGAACTGTTTGACAAGGCCTATCAGATGAATATGGAAGGCGCCGAGCTTTATTTGGGATTAGGCTACCATTGAGAGCCTACCTAAAACAAGCAGATGCACTTCTCATCAGTTTGCTGACGAATATAAAAATTATTGGTATTAGAAATTCAAAACGTATATACATATAATTCATTTAACGTTATAACATTTAACTAGCAATTATTATGCAACGGGAGAAGGGGTGTACTCGACACTGGCAGGGTGGACCGACCATTGATTCTTCGTTTCCATAAATGCTGAAGCCTTGCTTTGTAAAACTAGACGTTGAGGACCGAATATGGTCTACCTCTGGTTCTCTTTCAAAGATACACCTGCAAGGCCTTTAAGAGAAAACACCAAAGTTATAATATCAAAGGGCAAGAACGTTTTAAGATTTACTTTAAAAAATCATTGTCTTTGTAATCTCATTAGTCCCTTTCATTAGAAATGATTAAGGTTTTTAATCTCTTATATAACTCTACTCACCATTAAAGTACAAATAATATCTTTTGATATTGTACGACTTCAAACTTTGGATTGCGATTTTATATTTTATTATTATAATAATGATAATTATTATTATTATTATTTTGGTTGACATCAGATTATGTGCGATATCTCAACAGATATCCCATGAAAAAGAGTCTTATCTCTTCATCTCAACCTTTAGTACATTTCTTAGAATGCTTCCCATGCTAGAAATTATAAAAACACACTCTGTTGAGATAAAGAGTGCAGAAACCTTAGCCTGGGGCTTGCATGTCAGTGTCACTACTTCTACAGATCGTGCTTACAATTTCAGTGTTCGCGTGTATTCAAACTCGGTTGTATGCCCCAGCACTTGTCAAATGTTGATGACCTAGGTCAGCAGGCCTACATTCGTAATTCATATTGAACTTTCGGTGCATTAATGAGGGAGGTGCGGTATACTAGAATGGTCGTGGTACATGAACGCGTCTACCTTAATTACAATATAGAAATATGGCTCATCTTCCATACTTACGATATTAAAATATGGCCTAGGGTCACATGATATGACTACGGTCACGCGACATCACTAGGGGTTACCCTCTTACAGGCCCGCGGAAAATATGTGTACTCTTCTCCAACGCGATAAATATCTGTGACATTTGACATATATAGTAAAATTTAACCTGTGGCCCTGGTAGAGGGTAACAAAGTGCACCGCCTCGTCCCTTACAGAGTCTTTTTTATTTTTTTCGCTTTTTATGCTTGTTTGCTGGAAGCTTTTGTACATGAAAACACATAGTTTGGCGATGGCGAATTTCATTTTAGGGAATGCCACCCTTTTGCTCTTCAACATAATTATTATCTACAATCTCAACTCCTTTATATTCATTATCGTAATTTTAAGTTTTGTCATATTCGATATTGACAATTTTCGTATCAACTCCTGTATTTGGTTTCATTTGTTCGTGCAAAATTGAGTTTTAGTGAGCCTTTGAGCATTTATTTCGCATAAGTAGTATTTCTGAATCGTTTTAAGGCACATTGTAGATGGAGCACCAAACTAAGAGCAAGTAACGTGGCCGAAGACCCCGGGTTGCAGAGCTCTTATGCCTGCATGATGATATCATCTATAAAAAGGTTTATTACTTTCTTTATTATCTCCTTGGCCAGTCTGTGCAAAGTAGTGGTGACAAGGGAGAAAACTAGAGGCAGGTCGGCAGTTTACAATATCTATTATGGAAAGCCAAATAAGATGTTTAATATAAAATGTGTATGTATACAACACAAAATACATACAAAAGTATAGAGGAAAATAATTTACTTCAAATGAAAAGTGTAAATATATCGCAAATTAAACATTTAATGGCAGACGTTTGTTGGTGGACGCCCCACAAAGGAAAGAAAGGAAAGGAGAGTCAAAGGAAAGCGAGGGAGAATATTTGTACTAGTACACATACAGTGTTATAGGCGATGAGCATGATGACAGGAAGAAAAAGCGCGAAAGAGACCAAAAGGTTCCATGACGGAAATGTTGCCAGCCTCATACCTAGTTGATAATGGTGATTAAGTGATAAAATGTGTTAGTATAAAACGTAATGAGCTCAAATCGGAACGATAAATGAAATACGATAAACAATAATAATGTTTTGCAAGATGGTGTAAAATGTCCGATAAGAAACGATCACATTGTTAGCTTGTATAGTAAAGAAGAAAGTCACTTAGGCGAGAGAAATGTGTCGCAGTTCAAATAATCCCGAAGTTTTATTCATATGTCCATTGGATGGTGGTTTTTAGTCAGAAAGAGGTACCTTACAGCTCAGTAGTGGTGATCGCCGTTTGCTGAGGCTCAACTGTCACACTGAGACAGGTAATCGCTATCGCATTGTCACGGAAGCTCTTGATCCGAAACAAAATATATGCTGGGTCTTCCTTATTAACTCTCAGTTTTTCTCTTCTGTGTGTGAAATTATCACCCTTTGATGACGCCATTTTCAGAGGACGCTATTTTAAAAAGTTTCAAGATCAAGCAGAGAATGCAAGCATTCTACATGCTCACAATGTTGCTCTGTAAAAATAAGATTCTGAGAAATGAAAAACAGACATGGAAGCTATAAAATCTGGTGAATTCTCCCGCTTCATGTACATATACTGTATATGTACTTTTCCTTGAAACATATGTGAAAGACAAAAAGTATCGGAAGTTTATTCAACACAGCTTCACCGCTGATGTGGCTCTTCTTCGGTTTATCAGTCTTTTCTATTAGTGACTAACCACGTATCACTTAATAAAATTATCTGTTAAATTATTCATATGCAAGTTTGAGATGCTATCTGGCATATCAACCTGAAACAAAATCATAATCATACACAGATTTGTTCCATATACATCTCTAATTTTTATGTCGCCTTTCAAACGGAATTTTGAAAGGATAGTCAGTCTAAAAAGTACGAATAAAAGAAAGGAAAATGGTGCCCTAAAACATATTCTGTAAAACTTTTGAGTTCCCATTTTTGTGAATAGTTAGACACACTGCATTGCATAATATAACGTGGCTCTACAAGGTTTTTTTATTATTACGAAACGTTACTTTTACATCAGAATTAAAGTTATCATACCAAACTCTTTACTTTTTATTCTGTCAATTAATAGTTAATATTAAAAAATGGGGTATACACTCAAAGTTCTTGTTTAGCTGCTATCATGACAACATAGACTTTTCCCCTCACCCTCGTTTAAATGCAATATCTTGCACATGCGTATGTTTAACACACTTCATGTTACATTATCCTTTTAAATAGCTTGCCTTTATAATTCTTCGTCCTTTTCAAAACATATTAATCTATACTGGTGATATCCTTCTTCGACATAGGCATGCACACTAGAACTACAATTGAAGAAACAATGATGATAGCAAGGGACAGCAAGAAGAAGAAACGATCCACAATGCTCGCTGCAGCGCGCCACTCTGCCCGTTGCGACTCTATTTCCTCCTCCTCCATTCTCTTCTCAGTCACGCAGCGTAGGTGATCAACTACCTCCTCAAGTAATCGGTTTGAGTACGATTTCTCTAAGTCCTTATTCGCTTCTCCGTTATGATTTGTGGTGATACATCGACAAGGAGACATGTCCCCTGTGAACGATCCTCGCCCCCGTTTGCTAAGGCGCATTCCGACGTGATCAGAGCGCGTTAATCGCGTCAACTGTTCGTCGTTGTTGACGCTGTTTTCCTCGGGATGGTGCTTCTTCTCGTAGTCGGGAACTGCACTCCTCATGCACAACATGCGGGCCAGGCAGTTGAAGAGGATCACTCGCAACCATTTGGGCACTGGTGTTACAGTGGTGCGGTGATGGAGATTCAGGACCAAGACCGTCCAGAAGATGCACACTGTGGTCATTGCCATGAAGATTGTTAAATAAATACCTAGGGAGATAAAGAATCATGGTGCAAGTATTTTATAGTTATCATTCGAAGAGTGCCGGTGTAACGAAACTGAGGGTCCGTGTAACAGGAAGTCCGCACTCCATTTAGTTAAAAAGGTTAAGGGTAGCCTGTACAAATGAAAGGGAAGCGGACTTCTCTGTCATGGGGGACTCTCTGTCACGTTACACCGGTTTGTTAAGAAAAAATTTAAGTTCTCAACACTGAAATAAAGGAGCAGATTCCCAGAAGGTGAGCTGTGGTTTCAGTAAAAGCTCCTTATGGAAAAAAGGTCTTTATGTACCAAATGAATAAATGCATAATTTTCTTTTGAATTTCAGCAGTTTTTTCCCTTTATCACCAAGATATATGCCCTTTCCAGAACAGTTGAGAAAATGACGATATGTACATCCGTTTTTGTGCTCTTAATTTTTAATCTCACACACGTGACACAAGTGAAATTCGCCAGTCTCCACCTTCATTACGAGAATGAATTAAAATAAGAAACTTAAAACTAAAAAAAAAGCTCATAGATCGTAATTTGTAATTTTGCTCAATGAGGAAAAAGTGTTGAAATTTCCAGGGTTTTTTTTTTTTTTTAATAGAGTCTAGCGCTCATTGTGTGCTTTAAAGAGTTAACTTGCACATTCCTCATGCCATCTATTCGGTGTTTATTTGAAAAATAAAGCTATGTACACTTGGATGCGAAACGATTCTTTCAACAATTGGTGAGTCACCACTTAGTGCTTGTATTGCTGCTTTCCATAATCCCCCAAACCCCAATTCTAAATTTGTTGGAACTGTATGGTTAAATATGATTATGTCTTTCTAGATATTGACTGTAAGGGTAATCTTGACGCTCTGTATTTACCCTTACAGATATTTGTCAAATTTCACATCATGGGACTGGACATATAATTAGATCATGTAAGAAGCAAGACTACGGGGATCAATGGTAGAAAAGGCGGTTTTGAAAATTTGAAAAAGGCAATTACAAATAGATTTGTTGAGCGGATTTTCAAAATCTGTTCATATATTCATTTGTTTACTATAATAAGTTTTTGTAAATGCTGCTGTGTTTTAACTGCCTTTACAAAGTGAAACTTGACTCAACTGCAAGTCAAATAAATACTTTTGAAACCGAATAGGGCTGAAGTTTAAATTAAATAAGATCATTGTAAGGGCGGGCGTCTTTAAAGATCTGAAACTTACAGCAATACCTAGACTGCCAAACAGAAGTTTGCAATTGGGTGCTGAACCGCACTTGACTCAACCTGAAGATGCCCTTAACCTTGTAGCACCCAACATATTTACTCTGTTACTCAAATTCAAAAGAATTCTGTATCAAATCAACTTACTGATTACTGGTACGGACTCGGATATCCTAGGCATGCTTTCTGCAATCAACAACAAGAAGACTGAGAATGACAGGAGCACAGTAATGCCCAGTGCAATCTTCTCACCGTCATCTGGGGGTAAACAAAACACTACCGCCACCAGTATAGACAGCATAAGGCAGGGGGTCACTATGTTTGTCAGGTGATACAGGAACTTGCGTCTCATATAGATGGTAAAATACACGGCGGGGTATGGCACCTCTGGGCAGCAGTAGAAAAAGACATCCTCTCTCGTGGCCTTGGTCTTCACTATGTCCCACTCTCCATTAAGTTTGTAGTTATCGAGGGGAATGACGGATACAGAATTGGTTAGGTTGACTTGTAATCCTGTGTATGCCCAGTTTGTGAAATGCAACATGCACTTCTGGTCGTCAAAGGGGAAATAAGTGATGTCTAATTCACAGTTTGTGAAGAATTTACCTCCCGGTATCCATAAAATGTTCCCCGTGTTCCAAATAGATATTCGGAATTTGCTGTCTTGGAATGAGGAATGGTAGATTTCGGAAGCACTGTAAGAAAACGCAAGGATATATTTTCACATTGACTGAAACATGTTTTATGAGTATTTTTGATACCAGATGGTGCAGAGGCAACTTTCATGCTAATTTTGCGACAATAAAAATTGAAGAGAGTCGAGTGAAGTTTAATTTAACAATCAAAATAACAATTCATAATGGACATGGGGATGAATCAGTCTCTTATCTTGTGCCTAACCCATTGCCACCATGGAAAAGTGATGACAGATAGAATGGAATAAGTTATTTAGTACCTGTTTTGAAGGGCTATATCTGGTAGCCATAGCAACTGTGAGGACACCACGACGGATGTCAGGTTCCCATAATCCTCCGGAGACCAAGTTAATCTCTCATCTTGCCATTCCTAAATACATATAAATATATAATTTTTAAAAAATTACCAGCAAAGTTATTTTAATATATATATATTTTTTAATCCAATTATTAAATGGTAGCTATCTTTGTTTATATATTTCTATAGATTTAGTCTAACGATATATATAATTCTATTTAGTCTAATTCCATTGAGAGTATTTAAACTTAAACCTATACCACCAAATGTGTAAGATTAATTTGTTTTTATGAAGTTGAATGAAGCAAAGTGTAGTAAAACACAAAGGAAATCAAAGAAATATACCAAATCAGACATAAAAGTAATGACAATCCATCTGAAAGGCAATTGGTGTTATGTTTGGCACTTCTATGCAGGAGAAATATTCTGTGTCATCATGAAATAATTTGTTTTCTCAATTAAATTAGAAGCTCACGTTGGGACCTTTGACATATTCATTAGGGATAAAAGTATCAAATAGGTTGAACCTAAGTAGAAAAAGGCATTGTTTATAATGTCAAACAAGCAAGTATGAGACTTTTGGAAGTTCATAATTAAGAAAGAATATTTAAAAAAAAGTATATATAAAGGGGCCCTTCCCCTTACAGAACTGAATACGCCTTTGCCAAAATTATTCCCGTAGGCCTACAACCTACAATCCCTCAAAACAATAACGTTACCAATGATTTATTCGAAAAGCAGCTGTGAAAGTCTAAGTAATTGCATTTATTAAATCTGTCCCCTCTAGTACATGTAGGAAACCTCCTGTTTAAGATTAAACTCTTACTTTTTAACAAAATCGCCCGGAGAAATTTTCTTCTCTATGGATTTACAAAATGAATGATTTATCAATAGCTGATCAATAAAAGGTACTTCACTGAGCTGAAGTGCATCCCAAGGTTCTTTTTTACCAATACTATAGTCTCACCGGGTCATCAACGGGAATACACTTTACAAACGTGGTCAACCATTTTAACTACAGAGATTACACTGTACATCTGTGAGCCCAAAGTAGGCCTGCTGTTCGAATTAATTTGCGTGTCCTACGGCTTTAATGTAACATCTAATGGGACTGATTCAGACTTTAACTGAATTGAAGATTATTAAACTTGCGAATTAAAATATATTCAATTTCATACAAATCTGATTTAAGGCCATTATGCAACTGTTAAAATTATTATTGTTATGTATTCGGGAGTTTCGTATGCGAGAGAAAATTAGACATACCACTTCCATCCAGCCCGATGTGGCTAAAATCTGTATTTTTTCGTCCTAATCACACAGGTTGTAAGATAAAAAACAAAACAAACAGAATCACTGCACAAAATTTCCGACACTGTACACTGAATGCTTAAACGCATGCACATTTTCATGAGTGAATACTTAAAACATCAAAATGTGAAAAAAGAAACTACACAAGTAAACATACAAAAAACTATGCTATCACAAGTACATTCCAACCACCGAAGCAATTATGTTCGAAGAATATGTGAAAACTATGTAAAATGAATGTTGAATGCCTTTCAACAAATTGAACTATGTCAGATATTATTTTATGCAAATTTAATGCAATTGGCCGCAGAATGGATAACGTTCACACATTCTTCGTCCGGATCAAACCGGTGGAATTAACGTTCTCACAAAACAAACACATAAAAATGAATGTAAATGTACAACAAATACCACTCTTGTATGAACCGCCATATTAACATATCTCGAATTTATTTGTTTGCTTATGAACTTTTAATTATTCCCTTTTTTAGAATGATAACTGTTTTAGTAGGTAATATATCATCCAGATAATCAGAGTGTTCTTGGTTTTAAAATTCTAAAGTGTTTAATTCCTAAAAGGAAAAGAGCGTTTGAAAAAATGAATATCTGCATCGTTTATGTCTCATTCATTCATTGTGTCGTCTCGAGAGTGGTATTTGTCCATTGGTTTAGACAAAGAGAGACAAGCTTTCATTCATCTACGGACTAACGTACCACCTCCATCCAGCCCGAGGTCGCAAGCACCTGGCTCTTCTCATTCTACAGACCAAATGGAAGTCAAAGCATGTAATGTTCTAATAAAGATCACCAATGGAGGCTTAATGCCTTCTGCTGAGACGCAGATATATACATGTTAACACATATATGTCGCATTTGTGCAGCGTTACTGAAATTATAATGTTTTTTTTTCCTAAGTAGGCCTATTAGTTTCATAACATATGAATTTTACAACTAATGATCAAATTGACGAATGCAAGATGGATAATGACTGACGTCAACTAAATTTGAAACACATTTTGCCAAACATCACAACTAAAATGCCAAGCTTTATTTAGTACGATAGCAGAACGCATTAAGCTCAACAAGTGATCAAACATAAAACCATGGAGTTATACATAAAAGGTTAGAAACGCACCCAAATATACGAAGTGTGCTGGAACAAAAACAGTACATGAAACTGCAAAAAAAAAAAAATGAATGCTGACATATATTCACCTTATAAGCCAAAATAAAAACATAAGAAAATATCACTCCGAAACAAAAATTAACAAATTAACAAATAAACTGATTTATATTATCAATTACAGCTGCCCATCTATCATCTATCATCTAGATCACATTTTATTCATGACCATTATGAAAATAATATAACATTTGAGCAATTCCATGTATTTGTATTTGAATTTAGCAACTGGATGCACATAAAATATGGAATTGGAACCAACAAGTGACATTGATATGCATTTTTCAACATTTCAATTACACTTTAAATTTTTTTCTAATAACAACCTATTAATCAAAGGCGCAATCTCTTCACTACTCTAGTCAAAATAATAAACAGCACAATTATGAATTTGTGCCAAAGTAATAGTCACTTACCAGACTGTTCAACTGCATTAAAACAAATTTGACCTTGACTTCTACTCTTTCCGATGAATTCAGCTTTGGTCTGGATCTACTGTCGTAATCCTCAAACATATCCTTGATTAGCTTCTCTTCCTGACTTACTCTGTTTGGTACACCTACATTTGAAAACATCGCTTCTTTGTTTTAATAAAACATTAAACCCATCGAGCATTATTCTAAAATCAAATTAGCAGCGACATACTACTTGGTTAGAATGAATTCTGTCCTATGTTTCAAATGATCTAAAATAATTTTCATCCATTTACGCAAAAACGTTTCTCGAACCAAATGTTTCTCGCATAGTACCTTACCTTAAAAATTTAACGTAACTTTTTCTGAAAGGTATGTACTATACCACGAATTTATCATTTTCTCCAGGCCAACCTGCTCCTCAGAATTATAATTATAAAGGAAGATGTTGATGGCTATTTGGATTGGTAATTCTAAATAGACGTGAGAGAAGCTAAAGTTTGAATAGAAAGGGCAATACTAAAAAGATTCAGAAAACATGCAGCATGGGCAAAAGAGAAAGAACCAAGAATATGTTGAAATAAATAGGCAAGATAATACTCATGCTCTGATAAAACTTTTTTTTTATTCTTAGGGATTGGATAGAAGCACACGCACACGCAGACACAGTTATATATCATAGGAACCAGCACGCCATTTTGAGTACAAGTGAATATTATATAAATGAGCGCCACACAACGCTGTACGTTCATGCAACTCAAACTCATGGAAAAGCCCTGATACTGTTATTTCAACTCTACTTGAGGAATATGACAGATGAAAATGGTCTTATAATATTTCCACAGTATCTCACATAACTATGACGCAATGTTTTCTCCTAGCATGCTTTTGAACTCACATTCGTCTGGTACCATCTTATAATGCTTGGTATCCTCGTCTAGCTCTACAGTTACTAAATAATCTGAAACATGGCCATAATTTAGAGTAAAGGTAAAAAATATCGTCCTCTCGCATTTCGCGCTTTATGAAAAAAGAACTGCTTTAAATGTAGGTTGTTACAAAAGTGACGCAAAAACGGCCTGTGACACTTAGTAAGTGTTTTGATGGCATTAACTTAATTCCAAAAGTTCTAGTTAAGTGGCACGGTTGAAAATAAACCAATTCAGCCGCTGCCACCAGCCTCGATACCCTAAGGTTAACATCATGGAGCGAGGCCTGGAAAGAGGTGAGCTTCTCCATGTTGGCATGGATGTAAGATGTTAGGCTACACTTGATTTTTCTTCGCTTCGTGTAGTTCCATTTTCTGTTTATAAAACTCATTGGCACAAATTGACATAATGTAAGACATCTGCTGTCCATTTCGAATTATCGTTATTCTGTGGGTTTATTCCCACAGAAACACCAACTCATTAGAAAGTGATGCCTCATTAAATCTGCCTATATTTATTTAGCTGTATCATCGAAAGGTACCCGATAATGAGGCCTTGGGATGTTGTTTACATTGATCGAAATTGACTTTTCGGGGACTCAAATAGCAGCATAAACAACATGGCCTGCTTGTTGTGAAAGATATCCGCATATCCTTTAATATTCGTCTTTCAGTATGATAATTCAGAGGTAAACAAAAAAGAAGCTTAATATACCATAAACACAGAAATTAACTGACAGAATACAGCTGGCAATCTTTAGTCAATGTTCATTTCACATTTTATTCTACCAAAACATATTAAACAAATCGACGCAAAATCCTGAAAACCGTTTCAGCAGATGTTGCGCATTGTAATTTTTCATTGTATTTGTTATCATTTTTTGAAGTAGCACACGCGTACTCTCTCACTCACACACATCTCATTTGACAAAGAGGCACACGTACTTAATCTAATAAATAAGTGTGAATCTTTTGTTCCTCCTACTGAGTGTACGCAATTATTGTTGAAATCACTTTTTTAATGTAATGTAATTATTACTTCAGTTGTGTAAAAACAGATGAAGTACATGTATCCGACAATTGATCGACCGTTAATTGGCTCAACTCTCTATAACAGTATGGAATTTTTTAGCCTGAGAGATAACATGACCTAACTTCAATAATGACATTTTAGTACTTTTAGCCACAATAAGTCTTATAAAAAGACAAGCAGTACTTCTTGTGAGAGGACAATGCAACATGAAGAATCTCAACTACTGGGGTGATGCCCGAAATGTGTTAAAGCTAGAGCTTCTCTTCTAAAAAGTAACTCAGTGCCACAGACGTTGTATTTAACAATACTGACACAGTCTAGGGCACTGACTATGTCATCTAGGTTATGGTAATTGATTAATCACAAAACTGCCATTAAAGGAAGAAGTAGTTATGGGTCAGGGACACTATTGGATATGGTTGACATCGCATTAAGGGAGGGAAAACACATACCAGATCTATGGTACAAGACTGCACGCATTAACATGTACAGAACGTTATGAAGTTATGAATAAACACACCAAAAGCAAAAACAATTTCTTTTCTTTTAAGGTAGATCGAATAATTTGGCATTGCGAATTACAGTTGCCAATGAGAATGTACCTTCGGGTGACTTTAGGCATTCAAACTTTTTTAAAGAAACGAACAAGAAGTAGTCCCACAAGTGACAATCAATAAACATCATACAATGACTTTCGATCAAACTTTTACATACAGCTTATGCCGAAAGAATTTTTGCGTTTCATACATAACATACGAGAGATTAATACAGATATTAGGAAAATTAGTCAATAACGAAATTACCCATGATGTGATCAGTAACCCATGCTTAATACATGTAGTATATAACGCAGGTTCTGATGACAATAATTCATAAACTTTATTTGCAAGCCTGTCAATGTATAATCCTAATTCCAAATATTGTCTTTTAGCCATTAAAAATAATCTGCAAAATATTATTTTTCTTGGTTTAATGCTGCTGTGGGGAGACCTACTTACCTTTTGCGGCAGGTTTCGTTTCCTCGCCAGTCACTGTAACAGTACCAAAAAGGCAACCGAAAAGGCAGTAGACAATCCAGATGTGTAACATTACGGCAACCTTAGCTGGAGACACTTAACCAAGTCAGTTTGCTGAAATCACGTAATTGTCTTTTAAAATAACGACAAGATCGAAGCCTTCTTACATCTAAATCAACTGAAGAGACTTACATAAAGGCTTCTTAATACAGATGCGATTGAAAACCAGTTTCCTTTTCGCGACAAAAGTGGCTCAGGTGCATTATCATCAGGACACGTCAGATTACCTAATTGATAAAACATTTTGCCACATTAAATGGAATACGGGTTAACTCATCCATGAGACCGCTATCCTTCTTGTTTTATCCTGTCTGCCGTACAAGAGCGGAAAAAGCCTTTGCACTGTTGAAGTGCAGATAAGTAATGTTCACAGATAGACGTCAGCTGACGCTTGGCGTAAACCCGCGCATGCCTCGGATGTAATTAGAACAATGCGTCCACCAACTCAAGTTCATGACAAATTAAGATTCCATTCGTCTTGAATTTGTTCTTCTGAAGTGCAACTTAAAAATCTTCCGCCCTCTGGATGTGTTAAAAAAGACTTTATAAGTGGATTCTCTCCGTGGGAAGGTGAACAACTTTCGTTAATTGAAGTATAGTATGGTGCTTGTAAGTGTATTGACCTGTCTGTTGCTTTTAACATTATGTCAATATGACAAGACACTGGTTCCCCTCAGAAAGCATCACGTCTGTCCTATCATAATGCATTTATATCCGCGGCACCTAAGCCAATTAAGACATTTTCCAGGGTTTGCATAACCGTCTAAATGCCAACTGACACCCAGCTATGGATCCTAATTGAATTAAATATTTCAATCAATTACTTTACTATCGAAATTTATTGGAAAGTGCTTGTAGCACATTTCTCTTTACATCCCAGCCGACGTGACTGCAGTAATCTCGGCAATTGCCGTAATACAACTTTTTTATTATTCTTATTGCTAAGAAAAAATTATTCATGTTTTATCGACAATTGTTGTGTATTTCATGATCCTTTTTACTACAAGATTTTTATCTAAACTTAAGGAAAGGCTTCCGCATACTTCACTGATCTTTCCTTCAGTGAAAGAGCAAGGGTTGTCGAAAATGCTTCCCTATCAGCATTGCATTGATTTTCAATACTTACCATCTGTATTTTTTCCTGAACAAGAACATAACTGGAGGGAGATCTGCCGAAAGAGATAATCGAAATTATGACTAGGTCGCTCAAAACGCAGGTTCACGGTTGGACGTCAATTGCTTTATTTGTTTATTTTGAGAAGTCGGCACATGGTGTTCTTTTACATCAAACCTCTATCGACCATTGCATGGCAGACTGTTGCGTATGGTATCAAGGTGCTTTATTGGTTTATCGGTCGCACACGATTTCTCACAGTAATAAGGAACACAGGATAGTAGTTAAGTGAACGGTTTACATGTATCATTGCAATTTTTGATTTTCTGCCGACCGTCCGACATTGTGAACTTAAAATAGCAGAAATTTTTATCAACATGACAGAGACTTTTCAAATAATATGGTGCTGTCGCTATTATCCAAGTAAAATTAAATCTTTCGGGTAGTGCAAAACCAGCATACAGAAGATAATCGGCGAGAACAATTTAAAAAAAAACAGTAACAGGCACAAAATTAAAATTGAAAAAATATACTGCTGCACGTCTAGGCGCGGTCGACGCCCTCACGGCCTTCTTGCAAACGTTCACACCTTTAACTGGTCCAATGGAATTATGTAAAATCAATGACAGACAAAGAACCATTTGTAATCCTTTAGACCGTGCACCTCTTGTGACCTTTTTTAAAATACTTACACTCAAGAATGGTCTCAAGAATATTCAACATTGTTATCTTACGCCGCCTTTGCCGCCACAGAAAACAGGTACGGAAAACATATGATTATAAAACATTGGCCAAAAAGGTTGTCCCAACTCCAGTATCATGTTCTTTTATTTATAAATGATCACATCACAGGTGAAAATTGTTATAAATAGTGTTTGTATTTTTTGTACCACTGATCATGTTAGTTATGGTATCTGGAATGAAAATCACCATTCATAGCAATTAACTCCTGTGATGTGATCATTCATAAATAAAACCTCATGAAACTGGGGGTGGGACAACCTTTTTGACTAATGTTGTATTACCTTGTTTCAAAAGAATATTTTCAATGCTTTGCTGTTTCTTTTCAACAGCAGAATTGGATGTGGGATGTTATCCCCTTCAGCCAAGATATAGAGGTCAATTGATGAATATGCCCTTCATTGGGGAATTCATTCGGTATAAAGGTTATATGAATTGCTTTCATTTTTTCTCGATTTTTCTCGAAAATGTCGCCGAGTCCCTTAGAGTAGTATTGATACGCACCCGCCCCAAGGACTGGTCAATAAAGGCATAGTGGACGCATAATTTCTAGATACTTTCACTAATTTCAACATCGCCTTTTTGCATTCGAGGAATACAATGTATCAGAACTCATTTTGCATATCGATTTTTAATTAATTTTGGTCCAGCCAAAATCCAGTTATTGTTTACCTGATAGGCCTGTTGCTATTAATAGTCATACCAACCAAATGAAAATATACTTGAATTGTATGGAAGTGAACAAAAGAATTTTTGGAGTATGTTCCTATATTCTGCAACATCTGGTGAGCAGTCCTGTTTTGTTTTCTGATAGACTCAACAAAACCTGAAATTAAGCAGATTCCCTAGGCAAATACCACTGATAAATGTTCATGAATTAAATAAAAGAAAAATAATGGTCAAGATCTATTTTTACGAACGTAAATATTTTCCACTGTGTGTTTTGACATCAATTAGGCAGGATGCTTTGTGTAGAATGTTTAAAAACATTATTCCACATTTAATGCAGCAGATGCGGGCTTTTCACCTAGAGACAGGACAAAAAAGCCGCTTTGTCATTGCCTGTATGTTACAAGTCAATTAAGAGGGGTTATGTGCCAAAAGTGAAATATTGATAACTATCCTTTCATAGGACGCGTGATGAAATATACCTTCTATTCAGAACGTATGTGTATTTTGACGAACGTAAATATTTTTTACTGTGATTATGCATGAACATTAACAAAACAGAATGGTTTGGGTAGAATGCTTAAAGCAAACATAATTTCCACATGCAAGACAGCAGATGCAGGTTTTACTGTTAGAATAAGGTAGATAGCTGAAACATAACGTCCTGTCACTACCGTCCATTTGTTCATAAATCTCAGCGCCCGAAATCATGAAATCTATCTAATCTAATTTATATTTCTCCATTCTAAGTACATTACATTGATTTACAACATATTTTCAATCTCAAATCATACAAAGTAATTTATTAAAATAACAAATTAAGAAACCAGTTAGTTTATGTGAAAGACAGAAAATGCCTAAGGAAAAGTTACCAAATGTTGTGTACGGTGTATTATATTAAGGAGCAAGGACATTGAGTCCAAAAACTCATATGTCGGGTAAGCAGAATTGTCTTTAAAAAGCAGTATGTAGGGGCCTACCCTCACAGACGCCTTAGCTCAGGTGACACATATGACTCTGCAGTATTGACCCACCTACGGTACAAGCCCCCGGCCATACTTTTCAAAAGCATTTCGGACAAAGAGTGAAAGAGGCAATATCATGAGCGGATAGAATAACCCACCCTCAACAAGCACTGTTGCCTGGGATACCAACTACCACATCTGTTGGACTGCCCAGCAAACAAGCCACGTTGGTACCACATGGTTAATTCGTCACTATGACGTTATAACGTGGTAGCAACGTGCTAGCCACGTGATCCGAACGTGACGTGTTTGCTGGGTGAGCCCTGGGGCACATCCCGCGGAGACTGTCACCACGTCGATACCAACTCAAAATCAATTCACCCGAAGAATAAGGTCCAAAAGGTGTGATCTCCATATCAATGAAAGATCTAGAATTAGAATTTTTTTCATTATCTTAAAAGACCAGTGGTATTGAAACTTCATACAGATATGCTTTGCATAAAACCAATCCTTTTAATTTAGAACGTTTTCTATTGTACATTAAAAAAAACACTGATTGGTTGTTAACAATATCGTAAGATCGACAAGAACACTCTGTGTACTAAAGACGAATCCAATTTACAGATAAATTGCTTCACATGATTTCATAAACCAAGGTAATACAGAAAGGCACCAGCTGGTTAAGACGGTGAGATCCAATTACAAACCCAGTATTGGAGATTCGTAAATTGACATATTGTAACTCATTGTGATATATGTCAATTTTATCTTCCATAAGACATGTTTGGTATAAACTGAGCTGCTGGTATGGTGATAATCAGAAATACCAAATCTGTCTGAATATCAAACACCCCAAAACTCTTTAATTGATTTACTGCAGTGAAAACAACAGTGAGACACCGTATTGGTCTTTTGTGAAATTCTACTAATAACTGCAGATATATATTGTTTACAAAGCTTTGACTTCCTGGTGTGAAATATCAACACTAAAATGTGCTGTCTGTAACGATTGCAGTTGTTGTTCATTCACTCAGACTTGTGAGTGAATAGGTGATCACGTACCCACAAATGCATTACTATGGCAATTCACGTTAGGCCACACTTTTTTAATTTTATGGATGACATCCTGCGCGCGCACGGATTTTCGCCCGTTCTCCAAAAAAAAAAAAAAAAAAAAAAAAAAAACCCCCCCCCCCCCAAA